AACAATCTCAAAATCTTGCTGCATGTTTTGAGAGAGGTATGGCATGATGGAGTATTCACCCAAAGCGATGGCTCTCTTGATTAATTGCTTGTCATTTCCAAATTTTTCAAAATTAGCTCCTTTCAGATATTTGGGAAATGTTATTTTCAACCATGTCTCCACCACTTCTCGATCAAAAAGTACATGGTTATTCTTGGCATGATAGAACGATTCAAGTTTGTGACACTCGTTACTGATTTCTGAAATGTGATGCTGTGTGGTTTTCATCATATCAGAGAGATTGATACTTGGTGTAGAATCTTTCTAAACATGCCATAATCATTCGCTTATCATTCTTAATATTTGGAGGCGCAAATTCAAGTAATCCATAGTTGGATTCGTGTCCTTTCGAAAAAAACCAGCATTTGGCATACTCTACATTCACCGAAGATGACGATGCCATTGAAAAGTACGATAATAATTCCTTCTCGTTTTGGAAGGTTGATCTTATATTTGCCAATACTTCAGCCAACTCGACGAAAAACTTTCGAAAGGAAGAATTGAAAAGCAAACGTGGATCTATACTTTTTGCCAAATCAGACACCAATTTTTGAGTATGAGGAAAGACTCCTTTCAGACTCATCAAGTTATGGAAACCATGCCAACTATTACTTAAATACTTGTTGTTTTGATAAAAGGCAGAAACGAGAGCATAATTCAAGCAATAATTCTTCATATCATCATTGTTGGAGAGAATTTCAAAGTGATGATGATCCGTTGTTGTAGTATTGGTGGTCATACGATTCGGGAATAATAGAAAGGAAACCTTCTTTGGATGTTGGCACAATAAATTCTTGTGCAACGATCGGTGTTGCTGTATGAACAAGGGTAACGTGATAAATTCTTCATACGTTAAAGATCCCATAAAAGCCTTTTTACAAGCAATATCCAACGGAATGAATTTCTTACATAATTGATTCATGTGTTTTGAAACGAGTACAAGTTGAGTATAATCAAAACAATCACAAAAGGCAATAATAATGGAGAATAATTCATCGGGAAGTTGATCATTCCAATGTTCTGTTGATTCCGAAGAAGAAGAAACTGCTTCATGATGAGTTACATTTTTCTTGTGTTGATCTGTAATGGTCTCGAGATTAACAACCTCATGAGCCTTGTTCGTGCGTTTAGTGTGATGTTTATTTCTGGGCATGGAGTTGGTTACTTTTTCTTGTTGGTATGTTTTACTGATGATGTTTCATGCATGTTGCATTTCAATTGGTATAATGATCTCATGAAGTCCTTAAGTGTCGACACTCGAACGAACATTCAAAACATTACAACAATAAATTTGAAATTTTAATTCGATCCATTCGTGTGGCAATGAGTGTGATATCCTCGTTCGTATATTTGGTAATAAGGTTGGGATAATCGAGAACAAATTGTACAGCCAAATCAATGGCATTGGAAGAAGAATGATTCAATACATTTCTCGTATTGTCAGTGGTTGTAGAATGGTCATGCTTGGCTTTTGATTGATGCGATAAATTCTCCTTCTTGTTGGATGACTTTTGATTCAGTAAGGACTGAATTCTTCGATAGGGCCATCTCTCAATATTCAATCTCGTTTTAATCCTCTTGAGTTTGCTTTTGGAGCAACCCAGTCGCTTAGCTGCCTCACTTTCAGGAAAGTAAAAGTAGGGTTTAATGTCATCGTATCGAATGTAACTATTCTGATTGTTACTTGTTCGATTGCATCGAATGACTTGGGTATGATAGGATGTGGTGAAGGTATTCTTGACATCACTGCATTTCATTCGAGATGATGCTGTGATATGATGATGACTGATTGAGGTGGATGAGGAAGATGAATTGGAGCTTTGACCATAATCTGAAGTGTCACGTCCACTATCAGTTGTAGTAGTAGTCGAAGAAGAAGTAGTCGTAGTAGCACTGGATGAAGAATTTTCTGGACACTTGTTTCTCTTTTGCCTTGTACTGCTCGAAGAGGTGGAAGATGATGCATTTCGTTTTTTTGTTCGTTTCAGCAAGCTAGAAGCATTGTTACTACTGCCACTTCTTATTGTCTCCTCCTCTGTCATTGTTATCACGTTGAGCGCACGTGTTGTTGGATTGCGTTGGTCCATTTGTTGGTCCATGATCATGGTTGGCGGAGTTTGCATGCATGGTGACACACTGTTGATAGTATTGGAAGGAATGGAAGCGGTAGGACCTTCAGGATCTTGGGAAGGCCGCAAGAAATCATAATGCATGTGGTTTGGAAATTCTTGTAATGATTCACTCAATGACGAATCTTTATACAGATCGACATGAGTGTTCATATGGACCAATGCGATGGCCGAGGACATGTTCTTCTCAGGAGAGTTCAAGATGACGATGGATGGAGAGGCAGTGTTTGGTTGAAACGTAGGAAGGACTTTGGAAGAAAGCAACGAAGAAGATGACATCCTGGGTGGTGGATAAAACGTTTTAAATGTGTTTTTTCTTTGAATGTTTCACAATGTAAACATCAGATCAATAACGATCGAGTGTGCATAGGTGTGTGACAATCCCCTCGCTCAACGCTTGGGAATTTCCATGGAACGCAAAAAAAAAACGTACAAAAAACTCAGTTTTGGACTGAGTGGTTGCTTGAGGTTGATGGCGGATGAATATCATCCGTGGTTGATTCCATTGTGAGCTCTTCGAAGAAGGTTGTAAACTTGCATTCAGTTTCCATATCTGAATGGGGTCGTTCTCTTGTCACCATCTAAGAATTTTGAGAATTTCCAAGCATTCGTACAATTTGATGTCCTGCAGCTCCGTACAGTTCATGTTCCACAGATTTTTTGTCGTTTGTTGTTGAGAAGTGTGCCTTTACTCTGTACATTCCTCTCTCTCATATAATTACATGCAAGTGCAGGATGAGTTCGAGTATCGATAGGACTGAGGGATTGCTTGTGGATACTTGAGAGGACTCAAGCTGGAGATGGGAAAGATCAACTTGGGACATGATCGACCGGATTTTCTCAAGGCTTTTTCGATTGTGTGTTGTGAATTGTGTATTGGATAAATGAATGTGAGATACGTGTCGATACACACATGCAAAGAGACTTACCTTGTTTAAATTCATCAAACTCACTTGCAAGGAATGGAGACCAATCCAAAACCATTCCTCGCAAACTTTTCATGGCTCGAATTAAGTTTTTCAAGGAATCAGCAATTTGCGTATTAAGCTTGGAATTTGACTGCACAGCCAATCGATCTGAAAGAATGACATTGAATTGTTCCAAGTTAAATCCAGTACGTATCAAAAAATTAAAAACGTCACAATATAATTCAATGCTAGATAAACAAATGGTATATCGCTTGAGTGTGGATGGATCTAACTTGCTCAACACTTTGAAATACTCTTCAATATTGTTTGAATTAATTTCTAATGCTGGGAGAATAAAGGTTGATATAGTAGCAAATAATTCGTCTGGTATTGATAATAATCCTTCCATAGTTACTAAACCGCTTTTAGCTGTGGTATTGATTTCTCCATGTGACAAGGTGATGATGGTTTGTAACATGCTATCATCCACACAAGCATCAGTTAATTTGAAAAATTTCAAACTCGCATTTCCTATTGAGTTTGTAAAGAAATTCATCAGCGTTTCGCTCGTGACGTTGCAAACCTCTACCAACTCAAGAATTTCCAATTGTTTCAAAGTAATATGTGATAGACAAGATATAAAAAATTCATGGTTGGAACAATTAACGACTCGTAATTCAACAAGCTTTGGCAAGGCAGAGAAGCTCAATGTTAACGCTTTCCAATTGGTAATATATGAAGGATTTTCAATTTTACACCTCTCCAATTTCACTGTCTGCAAAGTGCGTTGTGAGGCTTTGAGTATTGCTGCTAACCACTCAATTCCAATTGTACATCCTTCCAAGTGAAGGTGTTTGAGAAGAGACAATGTCTTCCAAGAGTTATATCCTTGCAATTGAACATAATTCAGCAATCGAAGGGAGGTTATATCAGAGTTGTTTGTGTTAATGAGATCATCAATGGCAAAAATGTTAGACGTTTTGAATCGTGTTCCAACAACCAGTTCTTCGAAATGCATGTTTGGAACGGATTTTGAGAAACCCCAAACGACCAGTGTTTTGATTTTGATGTTTGAGAAGAGGCCAAAATCCAATTTTTCTGATACTACTAATCGATCAAGTCGTTCTACAGTTTGAGGTACAAGCACGGACAATAATTTAGTTGTAGATATGGTCACACTTGTAAACCCAAACAAATATTGTGCCTCTTTCAAATGTGGAAAACTTTGTGACAGTGGTGCTGGTTCAGTAGAGCTTGCATCAACAATTATTGACTCAATTTGCATACGTTCACAAACAATGGTAAGCTTTTTCAAATAGGAGTTACTGAGCGAGGTTCTCATTTCTGTATCATCCCGAATAAATAATGTCTTTTGGCCGGCAATCACCTCAAGAACAGTCAAGTATTTGAGTTGGTGTATATTTCTCAATAGTTGATCAAGATTGCAATTCGTCTTTTCAAAGATATTGTCTTCCTGTAAATCGTTGTGTTTCAAAGAAAGATGTGTCAAATGTGAGAGCGTCACGATCTTTTCCATTGGAATTGCTACGTCACTTCTCAAATTCAATACTCGAATATTTTGCAACTTTTCCAACATTTTGGTACATGATCCTTTTAATCCACAAGCATTCAAAGTATGAAGTTGTGATAATGCGTCCGTTCCAATGGCATTTGCCAAGTCGTCCCAACTCCACGGTCGTGTAACATTATCCGAGTCGGGTTTGACATCCAGATATAACTGTCTCAAGTCATTATTCCATATCAATGTTTTCAATAGGCTCTGACCCAAAATTGAATCTCCCAAAAACACCGGAACTAATTGTTTGAAACTTGTCAAATCCAATCTCACAACGGTGGAAGTATTTAATAATTCTTTCACCATGAGTCTCAAATAATCTCTCGAGAAGGAAGTCTTCAATTGTTTGGACTCATTCATTCCTTCACCCACACTAAAATATCCGTAAAATCTTCTCTGATCGCTGGAAAAGGGAGTCTGTGGAAGTACTCTCAAGCAATGAATCATTTCCTCAGTACTACTACAATATTCATCGGTATGGATAGAACAATGAAAATGAGAAAGAAGAAATTGAAAAGACCACAATCGGAAGCTCCTGCTGAGGGACATGACATCAATGAGTTGCCGATGGTCCAGATAGGACAATATCAAAAAGAACATTTCGTTGGGTAGATCGCTAAAACGATACGACGATGAGGAACATGTTGGTGGGTTCATCAATGACATTTTTTTAATGAGAATAATGAACTCTTTGGAGACAGGAATTCATTCTTATGACATGGTGTATGAGGCGGCAACCTTATTGTAAACCAATGGTAAGGTTGATCAAGTGCACCTTTTAGAGTTGTTGCTGTCATTTTGTGCATTGGAAGGATCTTTCGAGGTTAACCAAGGCCCAATTAATAAAAAATCCAAAAAAAATGAAAACGAGGAGCAGTACGCGAAAGCAAGCTGCGGCAGCTCTTGCGTTGGAACCTCCCAAAAAAACAATGATAAATCCGAATTAAATCCATCAAATGAAAAACCAAACACAAGTCATATGAAAGCAAAAGATAAAGGGGATCATGGAGAGGAATTACTAGCAAATGAAAAATTGTCTAATCATCATCATGAGCCTCCAACACATAAATCATCATCCATGAGCAGCATCAATGATGAACAAATTCCGAATGGAAAGGATAAGCACCTACGAATTTTCAAACATAGTTGCTTTCTTTTTGATACATTACTCAAGCAAATACTTGTCGAGTTGAGTATTGAATGGGTTGGACAGGAACGAAGAAAAGTCTATTTTCAAAATTTAAATCAAATGAATGGAAACACAAAGAACGACCACGAGGAGAATAATTCCTACTCAATTGAAGACGGAGTGGAGGTCTTTCCTCAAATATCTGCTTCTCAATTACCTCTTGAAAAAACCCATGTTGTGTGTGATCATTGTAAAAGATCCATTGCGAATGAGGTCTATGCACCTCACCTTGAACGATGTATGAATGTACGAAATAGCAGAAGAAATGGAGGAAGAAATAGAACTGTTGTGGATTATTCGGAAGATACGATTTTGGATTTTGACGAGGAAGATCACGAGGTTGAGCCTCAAACCATGCATGAGGTCGAAGAAGCATCATCCACCAACGAACAAGCTTATGCAGAAAGTGTGCCTGAAGAACTTCCAACCAAATCATCACCGTCTCGACAACAATCACAGAGCAAGTCGAAAAAAAAGACAAACACTAAACCAAAAACGAAAGCAAAAAAGAAACGAGGAGCACAAACAAGTGACGATGATGAAGATTATGTTGACGAATTTTTGGAGCCTTCGTCTGAAGAATTTGAAGACGATCGTAGTTATTCAAGCACTCAAAGTGAGCGAGGAGGAACCAGCAAAAGAAAAGTCACACGATCCAAGAAAGCAACCTCTAATGCTGCTGCATCCTCCAACAGTAATGGGAACAACTCAAAGAAACGAAAGACATCAAACAAAAAACAGACTCGTAAAGCGAACAATGCCCCATCCTCAGATGAGGATTTAATGAACATGAGCGGTAATAGTTCTTCAGAAGACGATAGAAAACAACCCAACGCTGGCACGATCAATGAGGAAGATGCTCAATCTGTTTCCAGCTCTGAAAGACTGTTAAACTATATTGACTCGTCTAGCTCACAAAAATCATCCGCGAGCGATGAATGAAGTAATTGAGTCCACTTGTCTAAAGCTGATGAATGCAAAAATGATGATTCAACCGCTTTATTTTGAGAATTCTCACACTTGACAAGCAAAAATTGAAATATTGATGCTCCAACTCTAAACTGCAGATTCCTTGGTGATAGGTGCATTCTTGAGTTCTGTTTGAAGAGATTTTTCACTTTTTGCAGATTTCTTGTGAGCTTTTTGTTCGAGCTCCTGCTCCCTCTTGTAATCAATGAGCAATTGTTGGTAATCATGAGGGAAGTAATTAAATCTGAGAAATTTGAACATTAAATCTGGAACAAGGCACGCCCCTGTGACCATCAACGTCACCAAAGTACCTTTCACACTGAGGAAAGTATGGTAGTAAATGGAATAGAAAGTTCCCTTTCCCAAAAAATTTGGAATAGGAGTGTAAATGACAACAAATACAAAGTACGAAAGATAGCTTCCCCAAATAGAAATCATCATTGGCAACGACCAGGTTTTAACTTCCAATGCAAACCTAAATGTTATGACAGTCATTGTTGCTGTCATAATAATCGTACCAAAATGATACACATCTGAAGGACCATTTTCTAAAATGTCAAATCCATACATGTAATTGACAAAAACTCCAAAAAATATAATGGAAGCGTGATAGATGGCAGTCAACACCCAAAATGTTAAACTTCGAGCATTGAATAGATTTCCATTTCGTTTGAGAGAGTCATAAATTTCTGGATGTTGCAAAATCACTTCTTCTGGTAAATCTTGTTCATAAATTCCACTGATGAGAGGTTGGAAAAAGCAATAAATAGTATTGAACATGGTGAGAAGCCACGATTCAAAGAATACTGCTGATGTGAATCCACAAAAGAAGGTGTAAAATATTTGTGGCATCACTATCATAATGTTCTTGTAGAAACTTAAATGTAAAAAGTCAGCATTTCGAACACAACAATATCTTCCATGAACAGCAATGAGTCTAACCAAATTTTTGAATCGAGGAATGGAATAATCGGCGGAACGAGAGGCCTGAGAACCCTCTTTTCCTTGAATTCCTACTCCAATGGAAGCGGCTTGAATCATGGCAACATCATTAACTCCGTCTCCAATTGCAAGAGCTTTTTTCTTGAGCTTGGTCTCGATGAGTTTCACTATTCTTGATTTTTGCAATGGTTTCAATCTGCAACAAACAGCGCTCTTCACAAATTTGACAATTCTCAAAAATTGTTTCTCATACTTTTCAAGAGCCAAGTCCAACGACTTGGAGTCAATAATGAGAGCATACTCAAAGTGTTTGTTCTTTTGTTTTTCCAAGAATTCTAATGCCACTTTCATCTTTTTCTTGACATGTTTGTGATTGCAGGCGTCACGAATTCGAATCTCAATAGTCTCATCTTTCTGAAGTACATTTGTTGAATAGGCAACGTTAATGGCTGTTTCTGTTTTGTCACCTGTTAACACCCATATTTGAAGACCTGCTTGCGAGAGAAAGGTAATAGACTCTACGACATCTTCCTGTAACTTGTCTTCAATAGCTGTGCATCCAATAAGTTGCAAATCAATTTCCATATCTGCTGCACTATGAGCGAGGAGTTTCTCACGATTCTTAGTTGAAAGAGTGGCTTTGGTGTAGCTTTCAAACCATACATTAAAGTCTTCTTCGGAAAGTTCCCTTCTGGAACACGCAAGAGTTCGAAGACCTTTCATTGAGAAGGACTCCAATGCAATCTTCAAGTCATTTACAAAGTGTTTTCTTGCTCTTGATCTCTTAATCATTACGGTATCTGCTCCCTTCGAATAACAAACATATTTTCCATCTGGATGTTTCACTACAACACTCATTCGTTTTCGATCGGATGAAAATTCAAAAGTTGCCATAATGTCATAAAATTTTTTCTCTCCCATTTCTTCAAGCAAAATACCAGCATTGGTTCTTTGTAAAACTTTGAAACCATTATTTCTTGCACACTCTAAGAGCGCAATTTCATCAGAGGACGGTCCATCATAAACAATGTTATCATGATTTTTTGGGTCACGTTCTGGAATGACAGAATGGTTCAACGAGAGACAAAGTAAAAACTCTCGTAACATGAAAGCATGATAAGCCGCAGTGTCTGATACCAATGGTTCGTCATTACTTGCAGGGTGTTTGGTCAAGTACTCTTTCATCATACCAGGAGCATTAATTTCCGAGTAATACAAACCACCAACCCATGAATCTGAATATTTCATTTCATTCTGTGTGAGAGTACCAGTCTTGTCTGAGAATATGACATCGAGTTTTGAAAGTCCTTGATTCATACTAGCGCTCTTCACTTCTGCTTTAAAGTTACCATACATCATCTTGGGATCTGATTCAATCTTTTTAGATTGGAAGGTTTTAAGAATTTCCATACCAACCACTAGAGACATTGGAATCATCAAGTTTAACATGACAAAGCAAGTAAGCCAGCTTGACATGACCGAAACAAAAGATGCTTCAGCTGAATCTAATGGTCTCAAATAAAAAGCATGTCTACTGTAATTGGTTTGAAACAATCCTGAGAGTGCAGCAACCACAGCACAAAGAGCTTGTTGCAACAGTAGTAAGAAAAATAAAATCTTGTTGAGAGCAATCTCCAGAGAATTACGTTTGACCTTATTTTCCTTAAGATTTTTGATCATTTTGGCATTCTTTCCGACATAAATGGCAATACCGTAAATGAGTTTGGTGTTTTTAAGGCAACATCCTCTCAACAGCAAGTTATCCATCGAAATGGATTCTTTCAGAGTCTCTCTAACTTCTCTGACTTTTACATGGATTTTAACTTTTCCTTCAAACGTGTCTAGATTGCTATTTGCCACTTCTATTTTCAATTGTCCTCGAATATTGCTGAGCTCTTTGTGGATTGTATACTCGGGAATGTCATGCAAGAATTTTCCAGATTTTAACGAGCGTCGTGTTTTCAAGTTGGTTTCTCCGTCCAAATTTGACGTTTCCACATAACACATGGAATCTTCTCTTGAAGAGTGTATACATAACAAATCGGCTGGGAAGGCCTCTTCTTTGCTGACGAGAACAATGTCACCCAATTCCACTTCTTTGACTTTAATTTCTTGCACCGCTCCATTTCTAATAACTCTGCATTTGATATTGTTGGCTTTTCGATCTTGTCTGTAACGCTGAAAATCTTCTATACCATCCTTAATCATTTGTAGTAAAACAATTGCTACAAGAGGTATAATGGCAGTGATTGGAAAAACTGGTGACACGCCAGGTATCAATACTGCAATAACAGATATGAGAAAATAAATATTGGTTGCTTTCTTGAACTGTTCAAATAGATTCTTTGGAATAAATGTTAGTAATGTATACTTGGTTGTTCGAATGTAATTGGAAGGCCAATGTTTCCGAGAATTTCTGTTCTGTTCTCGGTCGTTAATATAAATAATTTCAAACTTTTTCTTGTTTGTCTCGTCTGTTTTGGTACCGTTAGTCTCTGTTATGGTTGGAGGTGCAGTCACTACCGATTCGTCTTCGTCGTCACTAAAATCTTCATCCTCTGATTTCTTTAGTTGTTTTACAATGTTTTTGTTCACAATATCTTTCACAGGTTTCATGCTCAAATAGTCATTTACATTGTATGCGTCAGATTGTTTTGGTTTTGGTTTTTCTTTTGTATTTTCTATCATTTCCATGTCTGTCTGTTTCACCACATAATCATCTTCCACTTCTTCAGTATCTTCAATGTACAACGACTCTTCACGAATGTGGTTGACGTAGCGACCTTTTGGTCTTGGTAATCGTTTTACGTTGGAATCTGGAATGGTGTCTACAACAATTGATGGTATGTGTGTTGTCGTGACATCATTCTTGAAAGGCAATGGTGTGGAGGTTGAAGCGGTGCTATGTGGCGATGCATACACAATCGTGGGATGGTTCTTGTCATGAAAAAGCACATCTGTGATTGCTGTAATTTTTTTTGGAGATTTTCCATCCTGTAAGGTTGATATCAGAGGCGAGTGTTTCTCCACTTGAATCTGTAAATTCCGTGAGGGAGCTTTTCTCAATATCTTATTTTCAGAGCGTTGTCTTCGAACTTCATGTGCTTCCTCGTCACTACTACTGCTAAATCCCAAGTCCTTGGATGACATTGCCACAGTGTTCGTATTGGCAGTCACAGGTTCAAGGCATGGATCCAATGATCCAATATCAAGAGAACTCTCTGAAACATGAATATTTTTGTTTGTTGATGAAACGATAATTCTACTTTGTTTGACTCTGCCTTGTGTAGAAAAAGTACCCTCCACGTCTTCATCCTTGTAGTAATATCTGGAAGGTAGATTTTTCCATTGATCTGCAATGGGTAGCGCAGTTGAAGGAAATGGTTGAAGACCAATGAGGGCCAGATCATCCTGTGTCTTTAAATTTGCACATATACTTCCTGCTCTGCTTGCTCTTCGCTTGTATGACTTTCTCCAAGCTTCCAACAATTGTTCATCTTCAATTTTACTTCTTGCAGAGCTATTTGCCAAAGAGGTAGTGGCAGACGTGTTAGTTGTGAAATTACTTGTTGTTGACAAGGAAATCTCATCGTTGTGAGGTAATGTTGTCAAGTTATGGTCATCAGGCAATGCTGACAAACGAGAATATAAATTATTGTTGTGATGGGAAGGGTAAATATTTAAAGGAGATTGTAAATTGGCAGAGTTGTGTTGTTGGAGAATGGAAGAGGTGGGATGGTGTTGCGACAAATGTTTTTGAGGTGTCGAATAATTTAACTTGGTTGGTGGCGAAAAAGGAGGTTCGTTTGTCAATTCCTCACCTTCATGTTGCTGATGTAACGAGAGACTACTATTTTCAATTTCGGAAAGAGCTATTCTACTAATTCGATGCAATTCACTATTGTCAAGACTGATTCTGGATTGTTTTTGCTGATGTGAAGCAGATGAGGAAATTGAACCCTGTTTAACAAGGGATTTCGGTGGAGTAATTTTAGTTGGTGACATGGTCGAGTGAAGTGGTGCCATTTCGAAATCATTCGTAGTGATATCACTCTTTGAAGAAGAAGTGGGAAGAGGGTTATTCATGGGTTCTGTACTTTTTGTGTCATTTTCATTTCCTACTAATAATGTACTTGCTGATGTTGGTTGTTGTTGAATAGCAGAATGTATGGATGATTCGTTGTTGTTACTGCAAGAGACCATATTTTCCTTGTCCGACCTTGCCGATGGATCCATGGTGGGCGTTATGGATCGAATCATTTCCACCTGATGATGAGAATTATTTTCATCTTCTTGCACATCCACAATAACATCAATTGAATTGATTATTATTTCATCCGACTGATGATGCAACTCGTCATTGTTGTGTGGTTCATCATGTTGTTCATCAACGGAATAATTATTATTATTGGACATGATGAAATCATGAATATCGTCGGAACACAAAAAAACTACTATCGCCACAACAACAAGGATCAAAGTTTAATGTCTTCTCAGATTTGAAACTGTGGGTTCCGATATAAACTTCAAGTTCAAGGAAAAACCCAAGAACAACAATTTTTTTAATAGAAAATGGAACAAACGAATTTGCGCCAAAAAATAACCGAGGTTTACAAATTCATCCAAAACAACAACAAAAAAATAGTTTGGATTCAATGGATGGCGAGGATTATTCGTTGCAGAGTTTTGATAGGGAATATCTGTCTTTGGATTTCCAAAAGAATTTGGTTCGGTCTTTGAAAATTTTGGCAGAGATGGAAAAGAAATTTAATTCTGGCCCTCTTTCGGAAGTAAAGCTTGATTTAAATTATTTGGAAGACTTTTTCAAAACATGTTCCGATATTGTTAAACCCATCCGAAAAGCATGGAAAATTCTATCAATGATGGCTCTCCATTCACCATCAATGAATTTTGAAGATCTTCGGAAGGAACAAATCATGATACAAAATATTTATTTGAAGTTATATGATGATAAGCTAGTGCATCGGTTTGCAACAGCAAAAGTGGTAATTTTGAAATATTGGAACAAAATCATGTCTGATTATGAGAAAATTCATGAATATTCATGTGAATTATTTCGCTCTCAAATCATACGAGTTCTTGATATTGTCAACCAAATGAATCTCCTATCGATAGAGTATCTTCAATTGCTCAATTCAATGAAACAATACTTTTTAGACTCATGGTTTTTGAACATGCGGCCGAGTGCTATGGGTTCATCGTTAGACAAATTTTGTGAGCAATTTAATCATGTGGAAATATCCTTAGAATCGTTCATAATTACCTCACAAGAATTAATGAAATGCGCGGCAGACGTTCGATTGGAGAGAATTTACAACGTAGAAGGAAGAATACCAGTTAAAAAACTAAGTCTCTTGGACACTGTGGATCTGAGTGCTATCGACACCAGTTTTATTTTTCATTCTCCAAGAACTTTAACATCGCCGAGAGCCAACTCTTCTGCCTCGTTGACCGGAGCATCTACAGATCTTAATAACTCTCCTCAGGAATATTTTGCGTTCCCTAAAAAACAGCAACAAATAGATAACTTGAACTCGTCCCGAGTGCGAGTTCAAAAGCAAATCACAATGAATTGGGAAGAATGTAAAAAATATTTGGAAGGATTAATTTCGGAAGAGTTTGTATTTATCAGTGGAGTGACAGAAATCATTAAGGAAAACCTGCAGCATGTTTCATTGCCGTTTTTAACATGTGGATCTGTTCGTATGTTGATGAACCCTGATTTCTCAAGTCTACAGAATGGACATCTCGCTGAAAATCGCAAGCACTACCAACAATCCTTAAACAATTCCAAACATGCACATAACGTTTCCACTTTGTCTGCTTGTACCAGCGTTGATGGGAAGGATCAAAATGAGCAAGATTCATTTATTTCAAAGGATATTTTCCGACTCGACACAGAACGGATTAATTCAGCCACAAGCGACGACTTGTTTGACTATAATAGCACCTTAAAACAAATAGAAGACATGAACATTTCATTTTTACAAATGGGTGAAGTATTTTTTCCCTCCTTAGAAGAGAAGAATGTTGAAAGCTTGACGTTGTTTTACGTCGAGTACTTGAACAATAGAATTTTTTCAATGGTTCACGGAGAGAGTTCACCATTCAACGATCCAGTTGCAACTGAAAGGGAGCCTTTGACCATCAAAAAGAAGGACGATCCACTGTGCAAACCCATTCTTCACTGTGTGCATGAAAATATTAGACTTGCAAAGCGACAGTCCACAAAGGAAAGTTTAAACCATTCTCATGTTGCAATCATGACACCGCGACGAACCTCAAGTGGATTTCATTGCAATACTGCGTTTTTTAATCTGTTGTTCAATGTAAGTGTACACTTTCTTTTCATGTTGTTGTTTCAAACCATATTCGACCTGACTTGGAAAATTACAAAACGCAGAGCCTGAAATATCTATCCATTGATAACTACATATCTAGCGGAAGAGATAATGAGAAACCTGTTGTTACAGTGAGCGAAGAAGAGTTTCCATCCATTTATCGAATTTTATTTGGATTTGTTCCAAATTCACACAAACGGAGCTCAGACCCAAGCGCCAGACAAAGTCTGAATGATCTTAGAAATAGTTTGGGAAAGTCAAAAACAAACTTGCATCAAAATAATGATCGGCTCATTGATTGGATCAACGAAAATCGTTTTGAAATATTTACCATTTTTGAAATGATTACCAATTTTACGCATTTCAAAACACAAGAGCTCAAGAGAGTGAAAGAGTGCAAAATGGATTGTGTCACCCTTTCTTCAGATCTCTATGTCCTGTTGGAGCTTCTTTACCACTTTGTTAAGGTGCTACAAGGAGCCACTCATGTGCGATCGTATGGCTTTCAGAGTCATCTGGATACGTCTTGCGTTCATACTCTAACAGAAACAAATGGTCTCTCAACTCTAAAAACATTGCTCAATGGAATGAAACGGGGAGTGGGAATGATCATTGACTGTTTTTTCACATCTCTCAGATCAGATCTAGATGCAAAAATTGAACAACTCTTTCAGGAGAATGACTACAACTTTGGCAAGTATTACTCACAATTTCAAAAGCCTACAAAATCAGGAAACAAGAGAAGAATAGTTCCCATGAAAACGGAAAAGAAAAGTCTGATTGAACAATGCTTTGAAACAGTTCTTCCTTTCCTTACTTCTGTCATGCAAAATGATAGCTTTAGTGAAGAGGTGCGAAACGAATTCAGCGAAAAGTGTTGCCGTATTGTTGTCAATACCTACGTTTGTTTTATCGAAAAACATCACGAGGAAAACATTGCATCATTGAGCAAGAAAAGGGCGAGCGAGAGAATTAAGACAGTTTCCAAACTAACCATCTCTCTTCTTGATCAATTAGCTGAAGACAAGTTCACGATTATGAAATTATTGGACAAGGTGACAACCATGGATGCAACATTACGAGACTCCATGTTAAGAAACGTCAATCATTTAATATCTGTCTATCAATATTCCATGGAAAGAACTATACAAGTTGAAAACACAAGCAAGCTAAAGAGAAATCAAATCATTCCAACAGGTAGAACTACGGAAATCAAGTAACAAGTACCACCACTAGATGATAAACTTTTTAAAAACTGGATGCTCTGTGAAATAAGTCAGCTTGATCTTGTCACTACTTGTCATCAGTTTTTCATTTGCTGATTGTTGTTGAATGTTTTGTAAAGCTCGTGAGGAACGTTCGAAAACATCCCCGTCGTCATTTGAATCATTCAAAAAGTTGTAGATTAATTTTGCAGTATCTTCCTCTCTCTCCATATAAAACATGTGTCTTGTATTGTTCATAATTGCAAATCTTGATTTTGGATGCTCTCCAAGTAAAGTAAAATATGTAGAAAGGCATTCATCGCCAGGTACTTTTCTCTATTATTATCTTGAATTATTTGCAAAAATGAAAACAAACCTGTGACATCAAACAGAGCCCAAATCACCATAATTTTCATGTGAGATTTGGTACCAACATGTTGAATTTTGTCCTCAATAGCAGTTAGTGGGAAGTTACTTTTTTGAGAAGAGTAATTATGTTGAAACATTGTGAAACAATTACTTTCAAAACACCTACGTGAAGGAGTTGACAAAACTACTAATTTGTGAACTTGATTCGTCCTCTTTTTCTTTCATTTCAACAGCAAATTTCACTCTCTCTTTCACTAATTCGTCATTTAGATTAAAAAGACCGGTACTAATTTTTTGTTCTGTCGTTGACGCATTATGAATTGCTCCGTAAACTACACTCCCTAACCATGAAACTTTCACTAGTGAGCTTCCAAAAGGCAATTTCCTGTTGTTTTTTGTGGAACGACGATGCACATTAATAGGTAAATCTCGCAAATAATGTAAATTCTTACCATTTAGCTCCTGCAGGAGAAAACAAAATCAAGTCGTCCACTAAATCGGAATGTTTGGAAGCAAAAAGAGTTGCAATAGCTCCTCCCATACTGAATCCAATGATTGTTATTCTTGGTTTTAATGTTATTGATGAATTATTTTGTTGTTCAACACGTCTTGGTTTCAATTCAACTCCATCAATCAATTCATACAATTGCTCCACAAACAAATCACCATCATGAAGAATATCCAATGGATTGGATGATTTTCCTCTTCCATATTTATCATATCGTAAATATTTAATATTTTGTTGTGATGATCGTAACGACTCGTATTGTTTCATGAGCGCTTTCACAAGAAAATGAAAAGAATAGGAGTGAGAAGATATTCCACAAACAAAAACAATCAAATGATCGGTAGGTGCTGAGAGATTAGTGCCATTCAAAATGTATCGAGTTTTTCCGTGCTTGGTCGTGAGAAATTGATCAATCACTTGTTCCGACTCGAGATTCGGGTTCAACATTTTTTTTTCAGAGCAATAAAAGACAATTCTAGCAACTACAAGATAATGTTTTTCATCAAGCTCAATATTTTCTGGAACCAAGTTTGTAAGGTCTTCTAGTGTTTGGGTCATGGAAACGTCACGAACGCATTTTTGGACAATTCGTCTAACAACGACAATACCAAGTGATTTTCTACTTCGAAATTTAGTTTATGGAGGAAAGAACAGACTCTTTCTCATTTTCAAAGGTGAAGCGTTGTGAGGAATGAGTTGGCAAGTCTTCCGATCCATTGTAACGTTGTGCGAAACGTGAACGTGAAAGATAGTAATGGACTTTGTAAAATTCGAATTCGATTAAAGAAAATTTGTTTTTAACTCACCTTTTGATTCACTTCCAATGAAACCAACAAAAAACAAAATCAACAACATGACTCAAGAAAAACAACCACCCTCAAACAAAATGAAGATGTTCAGGACAGATTTTGACAAGATGTCACTTGAAAAATTGTAACGTTGCCAGTTCTCATCTCCTTGATTGCATTTTGGAAGAGAATTGCAATGTCTATGGAGGGATCATTGTTCAATTACTAACACTCATCTCAATCGGTGTTGCCTTAAAAACTTCACAAGCGTTCATGGAGTCTCTGCCACAAATAGTCAATTTGAGAATTGCCAAATTCATGCAAGCAATTTTATATGTTGCAATGTGATTGAAGGGTGTAAAATGTTTCTTTCAGGATATGCTTTTTCTTGTTACTTTTCGTTGAACAGTACTGTGATGGTAACTGGTGGAGGAGTGAATAACAGTCCTTCAACCGACCCTGTTGCCAATTTAATGTTTACAATCGATCCCTTCACTTCATTCAGAACAAATCATACATGTAATAAATTATTGGGTTTATTTAATGCTCAAGCGCTATCCCTAGAAATAAATTTCTCAATCTTTGGAATAATTTCCTCGCCATATAATTGAGTCCAATGAGGAGCATTCTTCACTTCAAATACACTCGATTGTTTTCTTGCCTCTTCAGTTAACATATTCTCCAAAAAAAAGTACATGGGTGCACTTGAAATATATCGATCGTTTTCTCCATGAATGTAAAGAATTGGAACGGAGACGGATTTGTTTTCAATCTTTTGAGGTGGCTTGGAATTTCTAAAGATGCCTCTATAGATGGCAGTAGCGGTGACATAATTCCTTCTCCAATGATTGGCCCATAAATTCAATTCCTCAACAGACATTCTTCCCTGACGTCCCAATTCATCAAATCCTGTAAAGAAGAGTAGGAAGGAAAAGTCATCTCTTGACATGGCAATATCTGTTCGTGTCGTTGTTTGGTGTTGCATTTTTCATTAGTGTGACATTTTCATGATACAAACATTATTCCAAACAATTCACATCATACACTTACCAGATACTCCCAACACTTGGAAGAAAAAAATGTACCACGATTTGAGTAATTGTTTCAAAAAATCGAGTGGTTGTTTCTTAATGAATTGAGAATTTAAAAAGTTTCCAACACCTGTGACCAATTTCTCGAAAATCTCTGGATGTTCACGCATGACATAGTTAGCTGCTCCACTCTGTTCTCAATTTTGATTTTGACAATTAATTGCATTTGATCGAATAACAACAATTTCACGTTCCATTCATAAATAAGCAAGGCCACACAATTTCATCATTACAACATCACACCAAATAATACTTACACCCCAATCGTGTGTGATGAAAATGGCCCTATCTCTCTTTGCATACTCAGTCACCAATAAATAATAATCCTGTGCATAATACTTATCCGTGTAATAATAGGCAATTCGGTGCAAGTCAGACAAGTACTTTTTAATGTCACCAAATGAAAATGATTTGGGATAATTCATCACTTGTTGCAAGTCCACACTGTCTGGTAGAGGTTTAGAACTCTCATTAAAACCTCTCATATCGGGTGCAATGACCCAATATCCTTTCTCAATGAAGTGATCTAAATATCTACCCCAGCACACTAACAGATTCCAATAATACATCAGTGGACAACAAGAACACAATTCCATGTCATGAAACCATGATCAAACACATGTGATACGATGATTATTTCAGTTCAGACAACCGAGAGAAAAATATAATCTTCAACACTTACACAAAGCACTTTCAGGATAGCCATGCATAAAAATCAACAACTTTTGATTGGCATCTCCCTCTCTCTTACCACCTTCTAACAAGTTGAACTCCATTCCACTGGACAATTTAATCTTTCTCCATGAGGCTTTCTTTGGGAAAAAAGACAAATGAACTCCACGAGTAGCCATCATCGGAGCCATCTTGTGTTCATATTCTTCAATGGTTTTTAAAGGCCATTCTTTTGTAATCTGATCAACACTTGGAAATGGATAGAACAACACAACCGCAAGAAATGCAGCAACCAGAAAGATCGTTGTGGTAACACTGAATTTCAAACAAGAGAGAAGCAGGGACATTTTTTTTTCGCTGTTCATCCTTTCGCAGATCTACTTCGTAATAATTCGCAGTCCTCATGAGATAGTCCTTCCTTTATCGTGTGCATGATTCGGTGATTGTTCTTCGTTTGGACTAGCTTAATGGATTGTTTAGAGGAAACGTTGGCCTAATGTTGTGAATCTTAATGGGTGATTGTTTAGATGAAACGTTGACACAAAAAAATGTCGACAAGGCCGAAAGTGTTTTTAGAGTTTTCGGTTGGAAATAAAAAAGTTGGAAGAGTGGAAATTGAATTGTTTTCCGATATTGTACCAAAAACTGCAGAAAATTTTAGAGCATTATGTACAGGTGGGTATTGTTGGAGAATATACGAATTTACCAGAACATGATGACCACAATCCCAATGGATTTTTCGAAATGAAACATTGATGCTCTCGGAATTACATTGAATTTTTGGAATGGAAATTGTATTTAATTTTTAATATTGTGATCATGGGTTTCTTTTCACTGCCCATTGACCCGCAAATTTGAAACGAATCAAATTTTAAATTGTTTTACACTGGTTGTTTCAATGTTGAACCATTCTACAGGTGAAAAGGGTCAAAAAGGAGGAAAAAACCTGCATTACAAGAATTGCAAAGTGCATCGAATTGAACCTGGATTTTGCATTCAAACTGGAGATTTTATTAAAGGAAATGGAACATCTGGCAGGTCCATCTACGAAAGCGGCAAGTTGGAGGATGAAAATTTCACAGTGAAACATTCCGAACAAGGAATTGTTTCCATGGCAAATAGTGGTCCTAACACGGCCAGTAGTCAGTTTTTTTTCACAATGGCAGAGGGACCACTTCCTCAATTGGATGGAAAACATGTTGCCTTTGGTAAAGTGACATCAGGTATGTATTTTCTCAAACCAGTGTGGACTAGACAAGAAAATCTCTGAAAACGATATTTCCGCTCTCATGATATTAATCCTCTATTCTTGCTGAAACAGGTTTGGAAATCTTAAAAGATTTAGAACAGTATGGAAATAGATTGGGCGCAGTCTCAAAGAAGGTTACCATTTCAGATTGTGGTCAACTTTAGTGCATTGTTACGCGGTTGCACAATAATACATCATTTAGAATGTCAACATTGACACATGGCATGATATTGAGCAGGATCAATAAAATTAAATTAAAATTTTTTAAAAAGTAGTACTGATAGCGAACTTTCTCTTCAAGTATTCACATTGAACCTTATCCTCCTTTGCTAAATCTAATTTTCCAAGAGATTCATATGCTGCTGCTCTATCTCTGAAGGCAGGGAAATACGTATTATCAATGTTAATTGCATCTGAATTGTCATTCACACATTTCCAATACTCGTGTTTGCGTAAGAAGCAAATTCCTCTCTTATTTAATGCAGCTACTTTGTAAGATCTCAATGTGGTTGCATTTGGAGCCGAATTATGCTTCAATACTTTATCAATAAATGAAATGCAAATACCAAATTGTTTGATGGCCATGTCATAGTCCTCAAATTTCGTATAGGCAATTCCTAATTTCACAATAATATCCACATACATGGCAAAGTAATCTAATCTTTTGGTTTTAGAAGCACTATCTTTGATAATTTCGTCAAAATTGTCAATGAATAGATTGTAATAGCTCAATCCCTCTGAATCTTTTCCTAGCTTGCAACAACAATCACCAGCATTCATCATGGCATGATATTGAGTAGGATCAATTTGTAACATTTTCTTATAGAGTTGTACAGCACTGTCAAGATATTGTTCTCTTTCGGTCACTCTTGTCACGGGCAAAATTTTTGCTAATTCTTCAAATAAAATTCCCTTGGCATAGAGAACGTCGCAATTTTGTGTATCTTTTTCTCGTGAATCAATAAGCTCAATGGCATCTTTAAGAATTTGCATTTTCTGAGAGAGGTCTAGATGTTTTGCTTTCGAATCTTGAAGGGCCATGTATGCAAGCTTTTCAGTAATAGGTCCAGATTGAAGTCCCTCATGACCAAAGTTACACAAATCCAATGCGTCTAAAAGTGCTTGTCTACCCTCTTTCTCTCGTCCCAAGCCTATTAAACAGTCTGAGAAATTGGTTGCCACGATAGCAAAAGAATCATTTTCAATAAGTTCTTCTTCTTGCTCATAGTTTTCCTCTGGCACCTGCTCGTTTGGATTTTTCTGTAAAATATATTTTCTGTACGAATAATACTTGTCTTTCAGCTCTGAGAACAAATTGAGAGCTTTTTCATAGCTTTCAGTGGCATAGTACATGGTTGCTAATTGTTCTGCAACTTTTGCCACGCTTACTTCATATTTGATGTCATTCACAGAGTTGCTGCTGGAAGAAATTTCATTCAACGCTGCTGCTAATTTCTTTTCTAAATATTCAATAGCACCATTTTGATCCATTTCCCAAAATTCTTGTGCGCTTTGTGAAATTTGTTTCATTTGAGGGTCAAGAATGGTATCAATAAAAGGCTTTCGAACGAGATGTTGTGGTTTTTTCACTCTCAATGCTGGAATTTGATCTTTGGTATGTTTAATGGTTGGAATGGTTTTGTTTGTTGATGATGAGGACGGATGAACAAGACTTGACATTTCTCGTCTGATGCTGGCAAAGCCCGTACATGGCCATGAATTTATTCCGATCATTACACATGGTCCATGATGATGAAAAGGAGATGAGTTTGCAAATCCCGATGCTCTCCGTATTGATGCTCGTGTTTTGGAAGCGAAAGAGCAAAATTTTGAAGTCACAGAGTGAAACATTTTTTTGAAATCTGTTTTGGTTTCCTTGTTTTGCCACGAATTGGCGCCCAAAACCGTTGTGCACAAATTAAAAAAAAGAACTGCTCTCGTATCTCTCATCACAGTAGATTTCTTTAAAAAAGATTAAAGCAATGATGCTACTTCAAGCAGAGAATGATATGAATACGACGGAGGATGTACCCTCTTCATCATCATGTTATCAGCTCGCTCACAACAATAATTTTCAAAATAATTCAAACATCAACATTTTAAACACGAGCAATATTGAAGATGGATTCATAAGCTCGCTGCGAGCGTGGAATACTGATTCGACAAACACGGGATCATTAACGGAAGATCCCTTCACCTCCATGCAAGGAAGTTCCAGCAACATTTTAGTTACAGTTAGAGTGAGGCCCGAAAGTACTCGAGAAAAAGCGGAACGAAAATCAAGCTCTATTGTGAGAGTCGTGGATAGAAATGTACTTGTTTTTGATCCATCGGATTCGGCACAAGGATCACAACAGCAACGTAGAGCACTTGGATTACGACGAGGAAAGGAATTAAGGTTTGCCTTTGATCGTGTTTTTGATGAGACGGCCACACAACTTGAAGTATATGAAAACTCTGCAAAGGCACTTTTGGAGAGTGTCTTGGATGGATACAATGCTACTGTATTTGCGTATGGAGCTACTGGTGCAGGTAAGACTGTAAGTAGTTTGTATTTTGCATTATCACGTCTTGACAAGAATGATTCGCTGCCTCTTTGTTACTATGCAAATGAACACTCAAATTTTGATACAATGCAATGTACATATGATAAATTTCAAAACATTCACACAGTTCACCATGTTTGGCTCAGAAATCAGTGGACCTGGAATTCTACCCTTAACCATCATTGATATATTTCGAATGATGGAGAAACGAAAACATGAAAAAACATACCGAGTGACTGTTTCTTTTCTTGAAGTATATAATGAGAATATTCATGATTTACTGGTACCTCAAAACGGAAAAGCAGTGAACCACGAAATTCGTGAAGACAAAACCAAGGGAATTGTGGTTTCAGGTCTTTCAGAGCACGAATGTCACAATGCCGATCACGCTCTCGAACTTATTCAACGAGGTATTTCGAATAGAACACAATTTGGAACAGCAGCAAATGCTCAATCATCACGATCTCATGCCGTTTTTCAAATCAATGTACAACAAACAGATCGAACAGCTAATATTCAAGCAGATGTTGGTGTTGGAAAACTCTCGCTCATAGATTTGGCAGGTTCAGAAAGAGCCTCTGTCACCAAAAATCGAGGAGCACGACTTGTTGAAGGAGCTAACATTAACAAATCTCTTCTTGCTCTCGCCAATTGTATCAATGCACTGGGAAAAAACAAAGGAAAGGGCTACGTCCCTTACAGAAATTCAAAACTGACTCGTCTACTCAAAGATTCCCTTGGAGGAAATTGTAAAACTGTCATGATTGCTAATTTGAGCCCAAGTGATCTCTGTTACGACGATACCTATAACACTCTCAAATATGCAAACCGAGCTAAGAATATCAAAACAATAGTTAAGAAGAATATTCACAATGTCAATTTCCACATTACCAAATATCTGAAGATAATCGACGAGTTGCGAATTGAGGTGCAAGAATTGAAGATTCAACTGCAAACCAAAGAGCACGAATTGTCCACCAATTCGCAACAGCAGAACGAACAATACGAGAAGGAACGAGAAAGCACTGAAGAGCTGAGATCAAGTCTCTCTACAGTGTTCCAAGAGCAAATGACAAATCGAAGAATTTTATTGGAACTCGAGGAACAGGACCGACAAAACTCTCTTCAAATCATGTCTATTAAGAATGAAATTGAGAGGTGGTGCCGAGAGCATCCAGGTGAAGAAAAACCACTTCGTATTCATACGCGTCAAAAAGACGCAGACACTCTTATTCTTGCCAAGAGGGAATACATTTCAAAGAAGGAAGAAATTGAACATCACTTACAAGAGAACATTTCCTGTGCCAAGTCCATACAGGACCATGTTCCCAAAATCATTGGCAATAACGAGTTGAGACAATTACTTGATCTTCAAGTTAAGGTACACGACCAGGAAATACTCAATTTAGACCTCGAAAGAATGATCGACCATCACAAATCCAAAGCTCAAAGAATGGCTCTCATTTTGGAAGACGCTCAATATTGCTCTTCAAAAGCTCACGACGTCATGCAAGACATGTATGATCGTTTGAAAGAAACCAATTCATTGACGCCCGAGCTTGAGCGTGCATATATGATGGCCTGTAGCTTGCTGGATGTTGTTGAAAAGCAACATCATGCTTTCCACGAAGGTAATCATCAAAATGCAACTTCTGTTGGTACCACCAATGCTTCATGTTTACCACTCGAAGCTGATTACGATGCAATGGTTGAGGATGCTTTAAAAACTCCCAAAAACATTCACACAGGAGCCAAGAAACGACGAAGCAGCTCAACGACCCAATTCTCCTCCCTATTCCAACTCTCATTCCCTAACGTACCTACAGAAGATAAGAAGGTGATTACTCCTGAAGAGTATGCTCAACAAGCTCAATCCAAATTGACTCGTGCAAGACGTCAACAAAAAACAGTGTCAAATCCAACCAGCGTCAGACAGAATAATAGCAATGATCGATCTTACAATGGTAAAAAACAGCCCCTCATTAACAATTACCTGATGGAAGAAGCTCCTTCTGTGGACACGACAATGGCAAGCGATTCAGGCTCAGATAAATCCATATCACCTCCATTGTCTCCTCAAATGAGTAATCTCTCGCTTGTGGACAATCATTCACACCTACAACAACAACAACAACAGAATACGGTAGTACTGACACCAGAAGATGAAGATCTCGTCATGGAGGATATGAACGATGGTGAGGACCACCACAATAACTCGCAATTATTCAAAAAGGTAGGAGGTACTACTCATGGCTACTCATTCAATCCAACCTATCCATCACCTTCAAAGAGGAATATCCACACGAGCAACCAAGTGTCGTCGTCGTCATCATCATTGGATCCCCATGCTCACCGTCATTTTTCACCTCTCAAGAAGAGTGCAGTAGAAGACATTAATGCTCTCAAGGAAAAGTTCGAGAAATTCAGAACAGACTATTTGGAAACAAAGCATGTTGAGCAAAGCAAACTGAGACGTGTTCTCAAAAAAACAACTTCTCCATCCAAATCGCAGCCAGAACAGTCTCATACGAATCCTCCTCTGTCACCTAACCAATTAAAAGGCACTAAGGCACGAAAATTCGACGATACAACCAATGGTGTCCCTTCAACAGCAAAACGAAAGACCAAAAAGGTAAAATTTGAGGGAGATTCACCAACATCTCCAAAACCTGTGCCAAGCTATATGGCTTACACTCAATCTGCACAACATCGAATTGGAGCAACCACGGCCTCCCGAAGAAAGCCATCCATCCTTCCAGTGTCATTTGCTGCTGATAACGATTGGATTCTAGCATTGCGGTCGAATAAGGAGAATGCACTCCAATCGTCTTCGAATTCGACTTCAGTTATGGTTGGTGGTGGAGGCGCTGCGGTTCCATTTCACCACAATCCACATTCAACACCCTCAACACTAAAATTGATGAGGAGAATTGTTCCAACTCATTCATTCCCTGGCACATCATCATCGACGAGTGCAACAACAACAACAGCACATCATCACGTACCCACCACCAGCAATCATGTTGGGACTGCCATGATCTCATCCATACCACTTCCTTCCACACAACAACAAGTCACAATTCCACACAAAGACTTTCTTCCAACATCTCCTAGAGGAGCTACCATCAGGTAACAAGAATGCTCAAGTGAAAATCACGCATGACTCACACGACATTTCTAAAACTTTCCTTAATAATAAAAAAAGCACATTTCGTGCCACTTTGACGAACATTGCCAGGTTGAGGTTACCAAGTCGCCTCCATCAAAACAAGCAACTTACTGTGAGAACAACATAACACCGTAAAAAATTACAGCCCTCTGTATTATTTTCATAAAGGACCATCATCCTCGTATTTCAATATTTATCGGAGATAAGTTTGGTGCACATTCACACTTTAGTAAAAACCGCTCTAAATACTATTCATCAACATCATCTGAAACAAAAGAATGCCCACATTTCGATCCTTCTTCTCGTCCAAATCGATGGACTCTAAGCGAATTTTCAACACTGATGATCTTCCCGATGATACCGAAGAGGAGCCTAGAACTCCTACTTCCTTCGGATTTCTCAGTAGTTCAACAACCAGTGCTCAAATACCATCATCGCCACCACAATCAGATCATTTGACGGTTCATGGGCAACAAAAACAACGTCCTAGAGGGTCATCCTCCTCCTCAACAACAACAACAACGATTAATAATAACAACAGCAATAACCCATCAAATCACTCCCAAACAACGAAAGGAATTCCACTCTCACAATTCGTAGCTCAAAATCTCGATGATGTACCACACACAACTGTAAGTACATACGTGAATATTTATATTTTGGATTCATCGACCTCTTCCAAAAATTGTCGTGTATGCTTTTTCATGTCGGAAATTCATCATTCGTATGAACTTTTTGTTTGGTGAAAATTGCTGGATGATCTCTTTTTTGTTTAACAAAATCATCACGAAAAAAATATTTATCATCTCGTTCATAACCACGGCTTTTTACTTGGCTGCTGTGTGTTGATCCCTTTTGTTATTGAAACGAAATCAATTAATCTATTGATTGGTATTGACAATCCACGTGTATACAAAAATTCGTGTTGATATTATAAATATTGGAGTAGAAGAAGAATTTTAATCTAATAACGGAATTTGATTCACAAGTCGCGACAAGCAAACAACACTCGACCATGTCTCTGGAAAACGATATTGAAAGCAATCAATCTAATCATGCCAATACTCTTCAAGTACCAAAACCACCATTTTCATCATTCCAAGATATTGGATTTGCTGAAGACATGAATCCCCGACACAGAAGAACCAACGAAGATGGACATTGTATGATTGATAGATTCAGAGGAAAGGAGGGTGAGGGGTTTTTTGCAATCTATGATGGTCATGGTGGGCGTGGTGCTGTCAATATTGTACAAAGTAGATTCCACAACATTTTTGAATCAGAATTGAACGATATGGAGAACTCTCAGCAATCTGAGCTCATTGATGTCACTCAAGTCTATAACCAAGCTTACAGCAGGATGGATGCAGAACTTAAACTTCAAGAAATTTTATACAATGGAGCTACAAGTATTACGTGCTATGTGAGACCGCTTCCAAGTTCCAAGAAACGTTTCCTCTATGTGGCCAATTGTGGAGATGCTCGTGTCGTCATTTCAAAGAAGGATGGAACTGCAGAAAGACTTACCTATGATCACAAAGCCAGTGACGAAGGAGAAGTGAAACGTATCAAGGCAAAGAATGGATTTGTGGCATATAATCGTGTGAATGGTGTTCTCAGTGTGACTCGATCATTTGGAGACCATGCCATGAAGGAATGGGTCATTTCTGAGCCCTATCATTCCTTTGTTGATTTGACTGAGAATGAATACGATTATCTCATTTTGGCGTGTGATGGAGTTTGGGATGTAATTTCAGACCAAGACTGCGTCAATTTGATTCATGAAAATGCCAACACAATGAACTGTCAACAATTAGCTGAATTCATTTTGAAGAGATCCCTTTCTCTCGGCTCTACAGACAATATTTCAATAATTATTATCAAATTATAAGTAAATTGTGTAAATTTGAATTTAGAACTTTTTACAATGCCGTTTCCTCTTAAAAAAAATTCACACATCTCCGCGCTATCACATCATATTCACCCGTTAAAAGATCCCGAACTCGTTAACAAATGTTAGCACTTGCTATGCCTGATTCTCTTATTATTTTACAGAACCGGATATTCCTTTACTTAGGTTTCCATGAATACATCAAGGACAAGCAAACCAAATTTGTTTCAGAAGGGCCAGTTTAATTATGCCAGTCCTTTCTTGCAGCATCATGACCGCGAAACTGTTGTTTTAGCAGTAAGGTTTTCAAGCGATATATTTTATCGATCCTGTCAATATTTCATCTAGTATCTCTCTCGAAAATAACCAACAACAAAAAATCACCTCCACATCTTCCCTTGCCAAAACTCGAAATGGGTTGGAAAGATTATTTTTCTATAATTAGGAAAAAAAACAAACAAATGGTCCTGGAGAAATCGAAACAAAAAAGTTCTACACTCAAATATGCCACAGAAGAGTTGAAAAAAAACAAAGAAATTGTTATCGAAGCAGTGAAACAAAATGGTTCTACACTTATACATGCTGCAGAAGAATTGAAAAAAGACAAAGAAATTGTTCTAGAAGCTGTCAAACAAAATGGGTCTGCACTTGAGTATGCTGCAGAAGAGTTGAAAAAAGACAAGCAATTTATTCTCGAAGCGGTCAAACAAAAAAGTTCTACACTCATATATGCTGCAGAAGAATTGAAAAAAGATAAAGAAATTGTTTTCGAAGCAGTGAAACAAGATGGTACTGCACTTGAATATGCTGCAGAAGAGTTGAAAAAAGACAAACAATTTATCCTCGAAGTAGTGAAACAAGATGGTGTTGCACTGGGGTATGCTGCAGAAGAATTAAAAAAAGACAAAGAAATTGTTTTCGAAGCAGTGAAACGAAATGGTATTTCACTTGAATATGCTGCAAAAGAGTTGAAAAAAGACAAAGAAATTGTTTTCGAAGCAGTGAAACAAGATGGTACTGCACTTGAATATGCTGCAGAAGAATTGAAAAAAGATAAAGAAATTGTTCTCGAAGCAATGAAACAAAATAGTTATGCACTTATGTATGCTGCAGAAGAGTTGAAAAAAGACAAACAATTTATCCTCGAAGTAGTGAAACAAGATGGTATTGCACTTGGATATGCTGTAGAAGAATTGAAAAACGATAGAGAAATTGTTCTCGAAGCAGTGAAACAAAATGGCTCTGCACTTATGTATGCTGCAGAAGAATTGAAAAAAGACAGAGAAATTGTTTTCGAAGCAGTGAACCAAGATGGTACTGCACTCGAGTATGCAGCAGAAAGGTTTAAAAAAGACAAAGAAATTATTTTCAAAGCAGTGAAACAAAACGGTTTAGCACTTGAATATGCATCAGAAAGGTTTAAGAAAGACAACATACTTGTTCTCGAAGCAGTGAAACAAAATGGTTTTGCACTTATACATGCTGCAGAAGAATTGAAAAAAGACAAAGATGTTGTTTTCGAAGCAGTGAAACAAGTAACTTTGAACCTAGCGTCAACCAAAGAAAATAATCATCATCGCATTTCTCAAGAATTGAATGATTTTATTTCGGAAGATTTAGCAATTGATGATAGCTTTAAGAATGAGGTTGACAGAATCATTGACATGAGCATTCAAGTTTGTTCACAAGAGGTTGACAAAGAAAAACGATACACTTTGCTCAACCAGAAGCTATTCCACGAACCACAACCAACCAAACTGCCTGAACAAATGTCGAGCATATCCCAACCAACAACAATGTCTCCCCAACCATCCAACATCTCCCAACGACTTGTGATTAAACTCGAAGATGAGTTTGGGACAAGAATGAGCAGAGTGACTATTGACAGCAATAATTTATTCTTGTCTCTGATGGAACAAGTGAAGAATTCGTTTATACAATTACAAGACCAAGCAATGACCTTGACTTATTTTGATCCAACTTTCGGGGATATGGATGTCAAGAACGACCATGATGTGAAAGATTGTCTCGCACTCTTCCAAGATTCATCTCTTGAAAACAAGAACAAATTTATCAAAGTTCATGTTACGAATCGATCTCACAAATTGTCGTCACAACATTCAATAGGTTCTTCCAACAGCACCAAGGACTACTCTGAAAGTACTCAATCATTCCAGAGCCATGAAACGAAACGATCAGACACAATTCACTCGTTTTCATCACAGCACTCAATGCTTCCGGGCTCAAGCTTTGGAATTCACTCGGCCAAGAATGTGTGTAGTGTCAAATCTCAACATCATCGTCTTTATCAATGAGCGAGTTGAATACGCAAACACCAGGCAATTTTGAATCCAATGATGGAAATATTTCCACGAGCACAGAAACTCTAAATTCTTCTCCAACTTTCAGAGAGCTTTCGATCATAGACAAGTATTTGAAAACCAAATATGAACAGATTGTGTTTATAGACAATGGAGGATTTGGAAATGTCTATCGAGTGGTGGATTTGAAAACCAAAAAATGCAAAGCATTGAAACAACTCCAAGTGGACAATCCCTCAACTCTAAATGACGCATTTAAGGAAGCGTTGACTATGGCCAAAATGAAACATGTTAATATTGTTCAAATTTACGATGCATTCATTCCCAATATTACTTCACGTGTATGCATTGAAATGGAGCTGATGCAAGGAAGTTTAAAGTCGCTTTTCATTGATAAGAAAATTAGGTTATCAGAAAATATATTGAGACAATTAACGAAACAAGTCTGTGAAGCGTTGGATTGGATGTTTAGTGAATATGGAATTTTACATCGGTAAGTGTTTTTGATGGATGGTCAGACCGTAATTGAGTCCTATGATTAGTGATATTAAGCCTGGAAACATTTTGGTGAGAAATTTTGATGTGAAAGAGGAGACTATCCAAGTGGCATTGGGTGATTTTGGTCTTTCGAAATCCATTGATTTGATTTCTACTAATGGCTCTCAGGTTGGAACTCTGTTGTTCATGGCTCCAGAATTACTACATACGAATTTCCAACAACGACAATACAAAGAAAACAAATCATTCTCTGTTGGAAGTGATATGTTTGCATTGGGAGTGACCTTATTTCAATTAATGTCCATGAACACGACCACTGTATTGTCTCAATATTATGAAATGGGAGGAAACGACATTGAAAAATTTATTTTGATGAAAATTCCACAACCCAGTCCATACTCTACTGAATTTGTTGAGCTCGTTGCAAACATGCTTAAATTGAATCCATTGGAAAGAATTCTTCCAAAACAAGCGATTTCTAAATTGATGCAATAAAATCATTAACTGTTAATCCTGTCTTCTCTCCAATTGTTTGCTGAAGGCAGAAAGGGCCCAAAAAGAAGTAACGGTTACATTAAAACATGTTGTTAAGAGTATAATTAAATTTAGTTGTTCAAAAAGTATTTAATATTTTTTCATGTACATACAAGTATCAGTCACCTTAGAAAGAGAAGTAATGTTCACCACGCTTCATGCCAAGCTTTTCCAAATGGCCCTTCATGGCTCCCAACATTGGAGGAGGACCACACATTAACACGTTCATCTTTTCACCTGCAGTTGGCAAGTACTTTTCAATCATTTCTTGAGTGATGAAACCAACTCCTTGAGTCCAATTGGTTGGAGGTTCGTTCAAAACATGATACAAGGTAAATTGTGGGTGTTTTCTGGCCAATTCCTCCAATCTATCACGCAAAATGATATCTTGTTCAGTCAAGTTGCCGTACAATAAAGCAATTTCAGTCTTGTCATCTGGATGCTTGAGAATTTCCTCAATAACTTGAAGCATTGGTGTAATACCGGTACCACCAGCGATCATTCCCAACTTGCTATACTTGTTCTTTTCATAATTGAAACGTCCCTTTGGTCCACTAACCAAAATGGTGTCGCCAATTTTCATGGTATCCAAGTGTTGAGTCATTAGGCCCTTTGGATAAATCTTGACCACAAGATCGAAAAATCCCTTATCATCATTCGAAGAGGTTGGTGTGTAGCTTCTGGCAACTTCCTCTCCATTGATGGTGGCCCTATTGTCATGTATGGAAAAGTACAATTGAAATTAAGTGATTGTGACCACACATTCGGAAATGTAGCGGTAGTCATATTCGGATTCCGCCATGTGAAAAATTCGAATTTGTTGTGTCGAAGGATGATTCATTCATTTCAATATTTGCAATTAATGATTTTAGAAATTAATATCATCATCATAAAACTGAAACATACTTCAATGAAATGTGTTGACCCACAGGCAATCCCAAACTCTTTCCTGCAGGTAATTCAAATCTGAAGAGACGGACTGGGCATTTCACGTTCTCTCCTTCGGTAAGACTCTTCTTTTCAATGAGCTTGAATGGTCTATATTCCTCGGCAGAGATGACACTCTCTTCCTTCTTCATTTGTGTACTAGTTGTTGTGGTGGTGGATGGTGATGATTTTTCAACTGGTTTGGTTGGTCTGCTTCCCATAATCTTATTGACCAAAACTGAAATTGCAACAATAGCAAAAGCTGTTACTCCAATGGTTGTTAAATCTCCCGAAAGTAACTTTTCAATAATCTTATTCATTTTGATGATGATTCAATGTGTTCGGATGATCCCGATGAAAAAGAAATGATGACAACAACAAAAAAAATTGTTAGGCTATTTTTTTCTGCTGAATTCTCTCACAGAGAAAACAACACTTACCGACTGAGGCTTTTGTTGGACAACCCTCATTAGGAGGCCTTTTGTCGGATATAAAATTGAGGATTTGTACAAATAGACGGAAACTTAAAAGATTGAGGTCGGAGAGAGAAAGTGCTGGCTCGGAAAATTGCTTTAATCTCTCTCTAGGATGATGGTTTGGTTGGACTATTGAGATGGAGGCACAATATTTTCTTGTTGTTCGCAGACAATAGTTCAACGACGATTTTTTTTGGCCATACCACAACCATTCATAATTAAGAATGTGAGATAATGAGTAGCGCAATAATTCACGACCAATTCCATGACTTCTCAAAGAGGGATGTACTGCAAAGGATGAAATCTCAGCTCTCTCCTTTTCCTTATTCACATTGTACATGATAAATCCTGCAACGTACTGTTGAGGTTTTTTTGTGTGGTGTGAACGTGCATTGGTACTAATAATACCATGTACCATTTCAGTATTCACTAAGGCAACCCATGCAAAATAATCAACAGGTTTGTCCAAAGAATTGTACAGTGATAAATTCAATAATTGCAATAATAACTCCCTATTGTATGCTTTGGAAAAGCTCAGACATTCAATTTCATAGAGCAAGTCAAATATATTCGAATTGTATGGAATGATTGTAATATTTGGGTTCGATTGCGTGAGGTCAATCAAACCAGATGTAGTGTTATTTCCAAGAGTTTGTGGTGAGTTTGTAGTGTGAATCACCATGTGTTGTTGCATGGATGACTGCTGTTGCTCGTAATTATGGGAATTATTGAAGTCAGTTGGTGAAGAGCTATTCCACGTCAGGCTGCTGTTACCATGATTGACGCTGTTATTCATATAGCTAGTTCCAGTTTCATTCTCACTAAGGCCATCCAAAAAAATACATTTAGAAAGCTGTTGAGGTCTGTTCAATAGTGGAAGCAATGTTTGTAAAAAAACATGATTCGGATTGTGTGAAACTGCTGTGGCTGCCTCAGTGTTAGCAATATTCTGTACGGTCATTGTGGATCGATCTATGGACGTATCTGTTCCCAACATGCTGCTTCGACCATGATGTAAATGCTGTTTCATACAATTACTACACAAATCAAAGTCAGCGCAATTTAAACAACAGTATCTTGTTCCATGAATTGTACATTCACAACCATCACATGTCACTCTTCTATGAATTACTTTATCATTAAATATTTGAATCTCCTCATCTGCAAATAATTCTTTTGGTTTTGTGAATAACCAACAATTGGACTTGATATGACTTGACTCAACTTTACAAAAACCATCCACCACTAAAACACCATTCTTTGAAATACACTTTGAACTAATCTTGCTTGATAATGTATCAAATCGTGCACTTTCTAATAGAGCTTCGTAACTAAATCTTCTATTCAACATGGTCACAAAACAATGACCTTTTTTAAGATGATGCTTTGAAAAGTCCTTTCCACACTTGTTGCATAACATGTACCCTTTTGTATTATTATTGGAGTTGATATTTGAATTTTGAGAATTTCCATCCATTGATGATTGACTAATATTGCTACTACTACAGCAGCTTGTGGTCATGTCATTTACTTCCATATTTCGTGATTTGTGTATATGTCGACCAAAAGGACAATTTAAACATAATAAAATTACAGAGCCTATTTCAATTTTTCTTTTACATCCCGAGCACCAACATGCGTTGGGATCATGTATAATAAAAGGATCTTCATATTCCGAGAGAGTAGGTAGTGGTGATCGCAAAGTCCTGTTATTTGGTATGATCATGGACATGGAATTAAATGTGTTGGAAGATGCAACCTCAAACCTTCCATCTATAAAGGCCGTTGATGATGGACAGCCCGATAATTGATCGCGGTGTTGCTGCATTTTTTTACAACAGAACAGGGAACATCAACGGATGGTCCCACCAAAGTTCAACATTTAAACAAAAGATGAATAAAGAGCCAAAGTAATTACACAAAGAAGAAGGAAAAATGATGAACCTACCCTCAGAAATTGCAGGTGATGAACTTGTTGAAAAATGTCAAGCATCAATATTATGGAGTTTGACAAATCTTCAAACTTGAAAATGTCTCAAGATCATCACGACACGATCATGATGAAATACTCACATGAACATACAACTCCGTTTTATTTCATTGATGACATTATGTATCACATCTTTTCCTACTCTCTACTTCCTATCGTTCAATTTCGATATTCTCTCGTTTGCAAACAATGGTATGAATTGACCAACAGTGAAACGTTTTATAAAAATTACCACACCTATGTCGTGAATCATGGTCTCGATGCATTGATCCATCCAAAACATAACGATTTGATGAAATATTTATTTGATTGGACTGAATTTGTGAATCATTTGTATCCACAACAATATGATGATTTACGAAAGTTGCGACAAAATATTCTGAGTGTTCAAAAATTGTCACAACTCTCCGATGTTGAATTTCAACAATTATTTTCCAAGTTGTCATGTGGAAATCTCAAAGATTTTGTGGCAACCTTGAGACAGGCAATATTAATCACGATGGACAATGGCTCTGGAAAAGTAGTTTCAGTTTTTACTCAACGCCCAGACCGTTCCACTGTGTCTTATTATGCCTTTGTCAATGACAAGTATCAAATACTCAATATTGAGACAGAATTAGAGCATGCCAAACATTTCAAATCATGTCTGTTGAGTTATGAATTCTATGATTATGGTTGGGGAGATACTGATGAAATTGTTAAGACTGAGGGTGATGAATGGTTCTGTCAACAATTTCCTGAATATATTGAAGCATTGGGGAAAATGATCTTCATGTCCATCTTGGAATTTATTTGCTGTTTTGAAGAAGGCAATCATTCCTACATGTGTGATATGCAGCGCGAACGATCGAAACATGCACTCAGACTGAAAGAACATCCCATGCTTGGTAGTGCACGTAAAATTCAAACCTCACTCAGAAATGCATCCAGCTTTTTTGCTCGAGCAGTACAATATCGTACAGATCCTCATTTGTGGTATCGATTATTACACGCTGGATATCGCTTGGATACACAAGAGTTGGAATCCATCTTTTTTTTCCACTATTTGAACGAACGTCATTTACAATTTTTCTATGACTATTGTGAAAAGTTTGACTTGAAGACGAGCTTGGCTCCTCGTCTGACTGAAAAGTATTTCTATTCCTTATTAATGCAAGGGCTAGGAGTGATACAAGTCGTTCATCGAAACAGAGGTCTCAATCAATTTCCAAGAATGTTGTGTACCAAAGCCATCATGGACTCGTCACAAACAGGAACACCGAATTATGACTTGTTGGATTATTACGCGAAAGAAATTCGAAATGACATGTATTGTCCTTTTGATGACCGAGTGTTTAGTGTCTTGGATGACACTAAAACCTTGTCCGATTCCAAACAGGAAGAAGTTCAACTCGTAATATTACCACCACACTCTCTGCCACGAGTATTGGTCTTGTATCCCAACCGTGACAGCCAAAATCAATTTGAATATTTCCTATCCAAAGCAAGAGACCTTAATTCTCAGGAATCGGGTCATTCAGAAAACAATCACACCCTTAGTATTGAACAAAGAATATTACCACATCGATTTTTGAAAAGAAAGGAACAAAAAGAGCAATTACAGAAAATTATTCACAGATTTGATGTCATTGTCTATTTCACCAGTGAGGTGAACCACAATGAATATGATCGAAAAATTGTTTCTTTTTTGAATGCTTATTCAAATAGCAAGAGAAGAGTAGTATTTGGATTTAGTTCTTGCAGATTATCTCATGTAGAGTTTACTGATATATTTGGAACTTTGGATCATGTTAAAATGTTTCAGTTTACCAATTGTGTCTCATTCAAGAAAAGATTTCAAAGAATTTTGTTGGACAAGGATTATGACTTCTTTACCAACAACAAGTAATTTACCACCATAGGCAACTTTGGTCATGAAATTGCATTTTCAAAACCATATCCAATATAACAAACTCAGAGAAAGAATGTAATGGGCGTGACACAAATCCTGTTGCGAACCATTTCTTAATCGTAAATATGCAACCAATTCATCTGATCCATTTCCGAATAAATCAAACTCTTTTCCTCATTTCACACTTCTGCGAACAACTCTTTTGACAGCTGTCAGAAACTTCGCTTCTTATCCGAAAAAAATGTCTTTACAAGACAACCATCATCACGCACACTCCACCTCATTGCCACACTCTCCGACCACCACCACAAGTCATCAACAACATTCAAACAACAACAACCATACTCCTTCCTCTCCTTCTCCTCCATCATCGGCGCGTCGAAGAAAAACCACCAAATCCTCTGCAGAATTTCAATTTGTTTTGGCCAAGTATGGATTAAGTGCAAATGGTGAGCTACAAGCTTCGTATTTACAACAACAACAACAGCAACAACAATTATCCACGTCGTTGCCAATGAATAATACAACCAATGCCATGATGAATCATCATTCCTTACCTTCATCGTTGTCATCCATTCCACAAATTGTGAAAAGTGGTCATCTCATGAAACAAGGAATTAAATGGCGATCATGGAAAAAACGATATTTCATATTAGTGGATGATATTTTGATATATAAATCTGAAGTGGATGCACCAGTGATTGGATTGTTACAATTACAAAACGGAAGTGTGAGTGTGGATGAGAAGAATAAGAGAATGTTTCATGTCAAGTGTGAAAAGGTTTGTATCATCCTATGGACTACCAATGGTTGATGATGTTGAAATTGATCATGAAATTAATGATGTTGAAATTGATCATCCATCCTATTCAATTCTCTAACATGTTCAAAATTTGAATCATTGTTGTGAAATTCATCGCTCTCTCTATAACAAAATGTATTTACATGTGTGAATTTACTTGCGCGTGGTGTTGTACAATCCAATGATCATCAAATTCCAATTGGGATCATCCAATGATCATCATCATTCTGTTCGCTCACTCTCTCGCTCACTCTCTCCTCCTCCTGATCCACATCTTCACAGTCTTTCAGCAAGGATAAAATTTATAGTGAACGTTCCTATACCTTTCAAATTTGTTCCGAAGATCATGAAGAGGAACGTGAAGATTGGGTTCAAAAAGTGAAACGAGCAGCCACTCAACACGTTCGATCACGTATGAGAACACGAACGAGAGCGAATGGTGGTGCTGCTGGATCGAGTAATTCTTTGATGAGTGATCGATCGACTCGAACACTAAACACGTCACAGAATGATTCACAGAATGGAGTGAAGGGAGTAGAGTCGAGAAAAATTGTAGCGATTGGTAGGTTGAAGAGTTTTGAAAGAGATGTGAATAGTTTGAAACATGAAAAATAATGTCAATTGTGAATTCATGATTGTTGTGATGATGAAAATAATGGAATTTATTATTGTTGTCACGCAATTGAACGGAATGAATGTTTTGTGTGAAATGTGTTCGAATGGAAATGAAATTGTACAACCCATGATATCTTGGAAATCTCAGTTGTGACCAATGCCACTTCCAACATTGGTATGGAGGTTGTGAAATCTCTACTACTTCGAAAAATTCGTGTCATTGCAGTGTGTCATCCTACACAATTTATTCCTCAGACTTCTTCTAATAACAATGACCATGAAAGAAAAGGAAGTTTTAACACAGTTTCAAAAGAGGAATTATTGAAAAATTATGGAGCTATTGTCATTCGATTGGAGAATGGATTTCGTCGATTTGAAGAAGCCTCTCTCGTTGAACAAATCAAAGAAAAGCAATATCACATATCATGTGTGGTTCACATTCCACTCGATCATGAATATATTGTCGAAGATATGAACCAAGTCATTAATTTTGCCTTGCAATTATCTGTAGATTCCTTTTTCCTTTGTTCGAGATATTATACAGCTCCTTCTTCTCAACCACATGATTCCTTTAAGAGTGGATTCACTAAACATTCTCAAGAAAACTCGTCGAATGAAGAACATGCCATTGAATTACCAGAACTGTTTCATTGTCATTTACAATGTGAACAAATGGTCAAGACTTATTTTGGACACTCGTGTGGAATTCTTCGTTGTAATGGAACCATGCAAGATTTTCTACTGTTTTACGATGAAAAGACCAGAACTTTTTATTTTCCATTTGGAGACTTGAAAGATTCAGATGATGAATCCAAGAAGAGAGTTTCATGGGTCGATGCGCGTGACGTAGGTCTATCCGTTTGTTCCATGATTATGAATATCATGTTTCAAGTAAGCTCTACCATGTCTTCACAACCACCAAAACCTCCCAATGCAGGTTTATTGTTCATTAGTCAATCACATGCATCCACTCAGCAACAAAATGAAAAGAAACATCGAACAACTTACACCTTGACAGGTCCAGAAAGTTTAACCATTAAGGATGTCATTACCAAATTCTCGAAAAAGACCAATGTTCCTGTTGAATATAAAATTATTGACAGAGAGCAATCCATTCATCGATTGATGCTATCCAAAGGTCTCAGAAAATGGGAATGTGACGCCTATCATGACATGTACACACGAATCTATGATGCAGGTTTGGCCATGGCTGTTTATCCAGATGTACAAGACATCAAAAAGTCAGCTCCAACACCTTTCGATAGCTTTATTGAGAGAGAATTGGAAACCTTCCAAGATCACAATCCATGTGTGTGCATGATTGGATCCATTCACTTTATTCAATCCAAATTATTACACGCTCTCCATGAAAAGAATTATCTCTCTAAGAATATTATATTTTCTAAAAAGGAAATACCTGATTATCCATTCAAGACAGCTCAATACATTGTATTTGATTATGAAAAAGAGAAGAAGAGTGTGGAAAGTAAAGTGAGAATTGAAGTAATGGAAGAAGTTCGAAAACGTAGAACAGAAGAAATTATTGCACAATCTGGAATGCTTGGTGTTCCTTTCAAAGCATCAAGATCTGCCTCATTCCATGATATTGAATCGGATGATTTGGCAGAGAATCGTATTAAGGGAATTTTACAAGAAAAGTTTATTGACATTGTGTCCGATGCTGTCATTCAATGTGAAAAGTTAATTTTCTTTATTAAGGCAAAATATCTTCTCAACAAGTGGTTCGACGCCGAATCGTTCAAGAAAGTGATTGACAACAGTCAGAGATCCACCAAATTGAAACACATTATCCTATTGTACGATTCTGCCACCAAAAGAATTTGTCCAGAATTTTTAACCAAAATTTCAATTTATCTTTCCATGAAATGTAAAACAGCGTACACGATGGTAGAATTTGGATGGCTCTATCAAACACTTGCAACGTTATCTGGCTCAGAGATACAGACCTATTCTTCACTTTCCATTCCAGTTTCATCCACCATTGATGTCTTAAATGATCGATTGGAGTGGTGTGACGGTGACGATGTGATTGAATTTATTTTACATTTGTTACAAAATATCAAATTAGATTCGGAACAAATAGTGAAGAATTTTGTGTGTCACGGTACAAAAGCTAGTTTCCGTGAAATTGCACGACTCATGCATGAAGTTTTGAAGAAGCCAGTATCATGTTCTGCTATTGACATTTCCAAATCCTTCCCATGTCTCTTGTAAGTATTTTTCGAATGAATTTTTTGACATGAATTTTTTGATGACCATCATGAATTAACCAAATGGTTCAAATGTTCAACAACATTGTCAACTCACTTGTTTTCATCCATTGGTAACAACACCACCTGTCTCTCTCTCTTCTCACCTTCTCACACACACAGTATTGACAATAAGGATCTCTTTGAACATCGTGCCATCAAAAAAGAAATGGTCTATTATTTAACCATGGTCAAAGAAGATCCAAATTCCATTGAAAATTATTCCACCGATTGTTTAGCTTTTGAAACAGTCATGGGAAAACCATTGAAAACATTGAAAGAATTTTTCGAAGAATCTCTCCTCATGTTTGCAGACATTATTGAATTGAATCAATGTGAATTTGATTTTTTCCAAGAAATGTCCGCATGTACCAGTATTGACGAACAAGAATTAGTGATTTTCAAACATTTAATGAATCGAATCAAAAATCCAACAAGTTTATTTCATCGAGTGGTGAAACAAAAATCTCGACAATTTCTCAGCACCTATTCACAAGATTATTATCATTCACTCACGACAGAAGAGAAATTAATTGTCATTTCTAGAGCAAAATCATTAATTGCATCATTTTTTGATGAAATGTATCGAGTATTGGCACGACAAGTGATGAAAATTATCATTCCACAAGCAGCGGATTATGGAGTGATGATCAAGGTAGATCCCAATCAAATGGAACCTCTCTTTTCACAATGTATTGATCATGTCTTTTTCGATCAAGTGTTTCCTCTCGTCTTTGAACTCTACAAGAGAGAATATAGTGTGAAATCTGAAATTGTGAATCAAAAATATGTCGAACTTGCCAAATGTACTCCAAAACATTTGGAAATTGCCGATGAATATTGTTTGGATGGAAATGGAAAGAGTGCTGAAGAAAATTATTCACTTGCCATCGAATCACTTCGTAACATTTCACAATGCAACAGTCTAGTCGAAGGTAAAATGAAACTCTTAATGGAAACTTCAAAAGCCATTGTCGAATGTGTGAAAATTTATCACGGACGAGAACGTGAAGTTTCTGCCGATGCCTTAATGCCCATTTTCATCTTTGTTCTCATTAAGGCATCCATTCCTGATTTGTATTGTCAATTCAAAATTTTAGAAGATTTTGTTCATGAATCCATCATGATGGGTCCAATGGGATATTCACTCGTTACACTTCAAATTGCAATTGATTACATGCAAACTCTTCAATGGGAACAACTTGATCAAATGTTCCAAATTCAAATGGATTTGAAACGACAACAAGTAGAATTTCAGAGACAACGCGATTCAGAAATTCAACTTCGAAAAACTCGAGGTTTCAGTGTCATGTTAAATGCACCTCCTCCTGATACTCAACAAGTAGTAGTAGTTGTGAACAAATTTGCTGAAGAAATTCATATCGACGACTCCTCGACCAATGATGATTATATGACAATGATTTGGATGATAATGTGAATCATTTATTTGAAGATGGAGATTCTTCGAGAAAAACTAGTCTTTTGGTTGCCAATCGATCCATGAGTATCATGCTTTTATCACGAAAAGATGGATCCAATCATCATGTGTGCAAAGAAGATTTTGAAGAAGAAGAAGAAGATTCTCTCTCATCAGAACATTCTCCATCACCCAATGAAACAAGTCGACTTGCTCATGTGATGACAATCCATCGAAATAGTCCAACCATTGAAACGAGTGCTTCAGAAACGAGTGAGGTTTCAAATAACATGAGTCATATAACATCTCGTTCTGTGACGACAACGACAACGATGAATAACACCAGCACGACTGGTCGTACGCATTCCATTTCACCTAGAAATGTGGCCATGCCACCACAAACACCAGATAAGCTTTATGAGGAAGATGTTTTTTCAGTGATTTCATCGAGTGGATCAACAACAGGAGGAGGAACCACAGCTTCATCGTCGTCCATGTCTGGATCATTGAGTCATGGCGAACAAACACAAGCAGCTAAATTACTCAAGGCCACAAACTTTTCAGCGAATGAGGCAGTGGAATTGAGTGTCATTTTGTTGAGAAGTATTATTGAAATTTATAATGCGTCCGAATGGATTTCACAAACTCGATTCAATGAAAAAGAGCGAATGGGATGGGGCAAATTATTAAGATTGGGCAATGAGTTTATAGTCTTGACAGGAAATGAAGAAAAGGTCGATGAATTTACACAATTGACGTACAAATTGGAATTGGTCGATGTGATCGAGTTGAAATCCAAAAAGCATCTCTTAACTGTATTTTTATTGAATATTTATCATGTCATGTTGTTGCATGGATTTATTAAGAATGGAACTTATCCACTCATGTCCATGAGATCCAGAATGAGATTCCTTCGAGAGCCCATGTATGTGATTGGAAGCATTCCTCTCTCATTGGATGACATTTTTTGTTTATTGACTTCTGCTAAAAATGTTTCGAATAGTGGAAAGCACGAATTGTTGAAAGATGTCTATCAGAAAGATCCTCTGAATTGTTTGGCATTGAGTAATTGTTGCTTCTCGTCGCCTCATTTAAGAATTTATTATCCTGCAAGTCCAGAATTGGTGAAAGCTCAATTAATTCAACAATCAACTTGTTTCCTTTCTCAGACTGTGAAATTCTTCTCCAACACCAAGCTATTGGTCCTTCCATCCACGTTAAGTCAACATCTTTCATTATTTGGTGATAACAAAGAAACTGTTATTAATTGGATTATCAATCACTTGCCCAAAGATTTGGAAATTAGAAAAGATATTGGCATTGCCATGACATATACCAACATTCACATCAAATTCAGTCCCATTGATTATAGCTTCCAATTTAAGGTTGCCTCTGAATAGTTACTTCATCTTGTTCACCATTTCAACGAGTGCCTCCTCATGTCAAATAAACCTTTTCATCAAAATTCTCAACATTCCACTCTGTTAATTATGGATTTTATAAAATACTTGTAGAGACCCATGTCAATAATTCATCGATATTGCTTATTGGGGCAACAGTTTCAAAATTCGAAAATCGTTGGCGTACTTGATTCCATTCTGCAATCGACAATAAATCTCTCATTCGATACACTTCGTCCAATGTTTTTTGTTTCCATTCTGTGCAATACTTGTATCGAAGAGAAGGTGTCAACCTTGATCGAATGATCTTTAAAATGGAATACATGTTTTTGATTCTTTCTTCGTTGGACATTTCACAATTTTCAAATTGTGCTTGAATATATTGTTTCACGTATTCGATATTTCCAACCTCTACTAATGAACAAATGACTGTGAAATAGTGAAATTTTCGAACAGGACTTGTGGCATTGTAGGCTCCACAAACAAATTTCAAATAATCATCAATTTGTCTCAATCTTGGTCTCACGCAATAGCATTGAAGAAGTAGTTTCAAATCCACGGTGCATACATCAGAGGCAATCATTTTTGATTGTTTGTTACGAAGAAAATGAGGAATATTGGAATGAGCATTCACTTCCAAATAGGTTTTTTCATCCATTTCTTTTTTTCCTTCTCGCAAAAAGTTTAAATGTTTGTTACTTGAATAGACTTTGTCTTTTGAAGAGATGGATAGTGGTGGATATACGGAAGATGAGCCATAAGTATGGTTGTTCGTGTTATTGGAATCGTATAAATAATTGTAGCTGGTAAGAATGTACTTGTCAAAACCTCTCTCCATTTGAATGAGTAAATATTCAAATATTTGTAATTGATGATACTTGATCTCATCGTGTTGTTGGTCGTTGGGTGGTTTTTCAATACTAGTTATCTCGTCAAAGTATAGAGGGTTTTCCTTTATGTGCTTTCTCCAAGTAAGAATGGTGTAAAAATTCTTGCGTTCAAAATCACGAATATACTCTAATAATTGAATATTTGTGTCTTGAATTGACAAACCATTTCTTGTCGTTTTGTTTACGACAAGTAAATGCTTCCAAATATATTCATAATAAATTTTCCACAACATGTTTAGAAATGGAATGTCAAATACAATAGGTTCTGTGATACACTTGTCACTAATTTTGATGGCATCGATATATTGTTTCTTGCCACACAGGTATGTTAGTATGATGGTCAAGGTAGACACATTTGTATCCACTCCATTGATGTAAAATTGCTCAAGAATGTCAAACGCTTCCTTTTCCATTCCATGTTTGAGGTATAAATTCAAAAATAAATTAAGAATTCGAGGACTAGGTTTCATATTCAAGCTGTCAAATATTAGAGTCCTCAAGGTACCAATATCTGCTGGAGTGAGATATTGCGTGACAATAGAGTTGGATCTGAACATGCTCTTGATGTTGATAGGAGTAATGATGTGTACATAGCGAGATCTGTTTTTCACCGTATCACGAATGATGTCCATCAAAGCCACATAATGCTGTTCGACTCGAGATTGTGCAAGATATTGAATGACAATATTGAAACAATGTTGTGAGGGACGTCTGAGCACCTTGTACAGATTCAATAATTGATCATATTTTCCCACTTCTCCAAAAATTGTCATTACTTTTTCAATTAATCCATAAATACGAGGAATGTTATGATACGTAAATTCTAGCGATGATTGTTGATCGAGGGCTGAATTTTTGTTTGATAACAAGTTGATAAATGGTACAATTAGTCGATCGCTTTCTTTTTGGGAGATCTTGAAAGCAACATCAAATTTCTTGCCTTCAATCAGCAATTCTAGAATAATATCTAAAGTATAAATATCCATGATAAAGTAATCATTGTTATTCAGTCCCAATATAAATGAAATGCATTGCTTGATATACGAGTTTTGAGAAAATTCTTCTTTTTGGAAAATTTCCAAGAGCATCATGAGCGAGGGAGAAATGTCAGTCATGACATCTATTTTAACAGCCTCAAACAGATGGTCTGAATATAGGCTCTTCATTGACTCGATTGATGAGCGTATCAGTATGGAAATGGATCGTTGAATGATAGGATCACACAACGACCTAAAATTCCAATTATTGGCACAATTTACATGATTTGTAAAATCTCTTAGAAAGCTCAAAACTTTTTGAATTTTTAGATATTCCTGTGTTTGTTCGAATCGATCCAGGAGTGTGTCACAAACTTGTCCAACAGCAAGTGATGTATATTTTTCTAATTCCATTGTGAGCGCTTGTGCTTCTTGTGGTGTTAATTGGTGAGTGTCAACGACAACTCCTTGTACAATGATAGACTTGTAGTGCTCGAGTTTAAATAGAGCTTTGTGAAATAATCCCTTGTCTAAATACTTGAAAATAGGAGAGAAAAGATTTGTCAAATTTTTCAAGCGAGGAAGAAACATTGTCGGTATGAGTTGAGTTTGTGGAACTTCTAATTTTACCCATTTGGCATCCATGTCGTGTATTGATTGAATTTCCACAGAAGAATCTTCCTCCTCCTCTAATTTCACTCGCTTTAATTTTTTCTTTTTCGTTACATGAGAAAGGTCCAAAGTAAAAGTGGATTGTTCTTCTTGTGTGTTGTGATTCAACAAGTCCGTATTAAAATTTTCATCCATGTAATTGTTTATAGAATTCGTAGTATCATGAAATATATGATAGGAACGAGTGAAAGACGATGAAGAATAAGCCCTGTGTGAATCGGGTTGAAATTGTAATTTCATCAAGAAATTATTATTGAAAAAGTTTAACTTTGGAAATGTAGATTCATGAAGGGAATTATTAAAACGACATGATGATTGCTGCAGGAGAGATTGATGGCTGCTCACCACCCGATTCTTACTCATCAAAGAATGGATGCAACAACGATTGAAGGGAAAAGGGCCATGAGAAAGTTGTTTCATTTTTTTACAAAAGGTTTGGTATGCTTGTATTATCATTGGCAACTTAATTCTGACAACATCAAAATCAATGACTTAAGGTCAGTATGCTAGGGTTGAAGTATAATTTGTAAACGAATCAATTATCAACGTGGCCAAAAACGGCCCAAAGCATCTTAAAAAAATTCCGACATATTTCCCTTTCAATTGAAAGCCATTATCCAATTGACCATGGCCTCTAAGGACCTCAATGAATTGCACAATATCAACCACCAGCATTATTCCATGAACTTTCCCGAAAACTTTAACACTTTCAAACCCCATGAACCAGTCATCCTTAATCCCGAAAGTATTCATGTATTTTCAGATGGGAATGCTCTCGAGGAGGAGTTCTCTCTCGTTCATATTCCTCTTCCAACAACACCCAAATTAAATCCACCCTCCTCATCCAATCCATTGGACTCGATGGAAATGAATGCCAGTTCCATTCATTATTCGTCGTTGATTATTCCCAAAGCAACGACGACTACGAGCTGTTCTCCTTCCACTCAGTCCTTTCGAGTTGAGGGATCTTCTTTTACACCTCCTTCTTCAAGAGTTGTTTCAACAACATCCGCTTTGAACAACGATCTTCCTCTCGGATCATCATCTGCAACAACCACCACACCTCCTAAAACATCGGTATCCAACCAATGGCAATCAACCAAAGAGGATCCACAGCGAAAAACTTCAAAAGCCAATTCACCTAAAACTGTCCTCCCACCCGATCCAAATTCTTCTCTCCCGAGTTCGTCAGCATCAACAGTAGCAAATGTACCAGTCTATTCACTCGGGTATGAACCTGCACAGAGCGCCTTAACGCCTATTCAGTCGTCTCCACCCCAGCATGAAACTCCTTCCTCAAAATATCAGGAAAAAAACTCCTCTTTATCGATACGTCAACGAGAACACTCATCTGAAGACGAAGCTGTTCAAGCAAAACAAAACTTTCTCATTTCTGTCATTGGATGTATGGTGTTGATATTGTTTGGTCTTGGATTGCTTTGTTCCTGCGTTGCATTCTATCCATTGCTAAAATACAAGGCTTCTGACAATCCGAAAGTGAGAAAGTATGGAACTCTTGGGTTGGTATGCTTCATTATAACCTTTTCCATCAACACTACCGTTCTGGTGGGAATGTTTGCTGCGGTGGTTGCTTTGGTTGCAGTGCTTGTCTTTGGTTTGTGATAAAATCGCAAATGACATGTGAAATCTGTTGAAACGCCCCCGCATGTTCTTCCATTTTATTTTCGAAATCAGAAAAAAATAGCGAGTGGACATCACTGATACCACACACAACAATTATTATTGTTGAAAACCGAAAACATGAACCCACAACAACCCGTCAGTAATGACATGAAGGTAAGTTTGCAATGTTGGTGATGATGATGAACTGACCCAATGGACGATGAACGGTCATGTTCGAATATTAACTGATTTGGAAACAACGAAATAATTTCAACACGTCGGAATCATTATCCACATATCATGGTCGTTTTTCAATTCTCGAATTTTATGATCACAAATAGGATCCTAATATGGTCATGTTGAACCAACAACAACAACCAAGTGCCTACTATCAACAACCACAACCTGGTCAGCAGCCCATGTATGTGCAACAACCACAACCTGGTCAGCAACAAGCATACTACCCACAGCCTGGTCAGCAACCCATGTACGTGCAACCACAACCTGGTCAGCAACCCATCTATGTTGATCCCAATCAAATGCAAGGAGGAGTGTACTATCAACCTCAATATGCTGTTGTTCAGCAGCAAACCACCACAACTACAGCTCAACCTGTAGTCGTAGCTACAACCACAACCAACGTGGTCAACGTTTCAGCTGAAGGAAAGCAAGCTGAAGATGCTTTTACGATGGCTTTGATTATTACTGGTTCTTCGGAATTGGCTTTTGCTTCTCGTGTCTATTTTGGATTCCTGTATTAAAGTATAGACATTCAAGCGATGAAAGAGCTCGAAGATATGGTACCTATGGTCAATATGGTCTCATCGTTACTATTGTATTGAATTTGATTGCTGTGGTGCTCGTTGCTCTTCCAATTATTATTGCCGTCTCTGTAGCTGCTTCTTACACTCGTAATATTAGATAAATTCAAACTTGTCGACAAGTCACAACATTCAATTAGGATTTTTTGTGTTTTAAATTGAAGCTAATTCTTTACAAAAGAAACACCATCTAATATTTTGTATTAATAATGAATTGATTATGTCTATGGACACACCTTTAATATTAAGAATAATAATTTATGAAAAAATTGAATAGTGTGAATTCAAGGTTTGTGGACAATTGGAGAAATGTTGAAAAAGAGAGCTAAGGGGATTTGAGTGTAGAAATCACAACTTAAAAGAAGAATTGTCCTCCACCCATGCCACCACCACCTCTTCTTCCACCACCTCCAAAACCGCCCATACCACCACCTCCGAAACCACCCATGTGCATGCCTCCCATACCTCCCATTCCACCACCAAAGAACATTCTGAAAATGTCGTTCATGTCAGCTCCATGGAATCCACCTTCGAAATCGGCATCCATGGCACCCGAATCGTATTGTTGTCGTTTTTGAGGATCTGACAAAATACTATGTGCTTCTGTAATGTCCTTAAATTTGTTTTCAGCATTCTTCTTCTCCTCTTCGTCAATGTATCGATCTGGATGCCATTGCATAGCAAGCTTCTTGTATGCCTTCTAATTTCATCGGTGGAAGCAGACTTTTCAATTCCTAGGATTTTGTAATAGTCCTTCTTCTTACTTTGTTTGTATAATTTTCGTACTTCTTTCAATTTTTGTTCAATTTCCTCATTGTCCTTATCCAATTCGTGAGCCCTATTGTAGTCACGCATGGCGTCTTCATATTGTTCGAGCTCAATATAGCTCGAACCTCTACGCATGTAGGCCTTCAAATAACTGTCATTCAATTCAATGGCCTTGGTGGCATCTTTGACGGCAACCTCGTGTTTACCCAATTTGGTTGCAGCTGCAGCTCGATTGCAATATAATACAGCATTCAAATTTGCATTCTTTGGGTCAATTTCAATCGCTTTGGTATACTCATCGTAGGCCTCTTGGTATTTTCCATTTCGCAAAAGTTTGTTACCTTCTTCCTTTAAAGCTTCAATTTTCTTAATTTGTTTTCTAAATTGAATACATTTTTGATTGTCAGGATCTAAGTTGAGTGCTTGTGTGATGTGATTGAGTCCACTATCTGTATTTCCAGCATAATAGAGCGCTTGTCCTCTCAAAAATAGAGCATCTGAATTGTTACTGTCAACATCTCGAAGAATGGCGGAAGCTTCTTTGGCAGCAGTATCAAATTCTCTCAGTCCAATGAGAGATTCAATTTTGACCAATTTCACAATGGTCGAATGTGGAGCAATTTGCAATGCCAAATCAACCTCAGCACTAGCTTCCTTGTAGAGTCCTTGAGAAAGGAAATTTTTAGAATTATTCAAATATTTTTCAATTTTCTCAGCTGCCTCTCGTTCCTTCTTGAAAAGGTCACTATTGGGTTCAAGTTTAAGTCCCAAATCGAATTGTTCTTTGGCTTCTTTTGTTTTACCCATTTGTAAATATCCTTGACCTGCTCGGAGATAGGCCTTGGTAAATTTAGCATCTAATTGTTGAGCTTTCAGAGCATCTTCAATGACTTTCTTGTATTGTTGTAATTGTAAATAACATGCTGCTCTGTTGGTGTAGATGGGTGCTTGATTTGGATCAATTTCAATGGCCTTCGAGTAACATTCAGCAGCCTTCTTGTAAGATGCTTTCTTGTATCGCTTGTTGCCTTCCTCTTTGAAATCTTCAGCTGTTGTAAGATGACTTGGAATGGGTTCATTATCTTCTACTTGTGAAGAAGAACTTGTACCATTTGTACTGCTACTACTTGCTCCTTTGTGTTTCATAATCAATTGATTGAGTTTGTTCATGTCTCCGCCAACTACTTGATCGAGTTTCTTCTTATTCTTGAAAAGAACAAAGGTTGGCATGGCCGAAATATCGCATTGAGCAGCTGTTTGTTGGCAAATATCTACATCTACTTTGAGAAAGACGGCATCTTGTTGGTATTGAGTGGAGAGTTGTTCAAAAATCGGAGCAACCTTTTTGCAAGGACCACACCATGTGGCAAAGAAGTCGACCACTACCAGCTTGTTGGTACTGGCAAGTTCTGATGTAAATTGAGAATCGGATTTAATTTCCTTGACCATTTTGTTGTTATTGTTGTTTTACTCGAGTGATGTACTACTCAATTATTATTACTAGGAGTGTTGTTGTTTGCTACAAGTTCTACTCCAATTAAAAAGTTGCTCGTTATCTATGAAATTGGATTTAAAATAGCGTGATGATGCAAATAAAACACGCGTACGATGATGTTGTGATTATCCGTTGATAATGATAATAAAATCAAAAATCGGAACACAATATTATCTTGGATGATGAGGCAACACAATATTCGGTATCCTCGTTTTTTTTTTTGACGGAATTCGGTAATTTGAAGGAAGTTGTGTCTGGTGTAAGAGGATGATGTGAACAGAAAAGCTCACATTTGCTAAGGTCTAAGAAAATCAAGCTTGGCAAGAGAATTTATTTTGTTATGGAAAATGGTTTGTTGAAAATTTGAAATGAAAACCATTTCTTTATAAAATTAAGAAACACCATATGAATTTGATGTTCGTGGCCCACCAGAGAGAAGAGCCTTATGAAAGCGAGTTCTTCAAGTTGCATCTTGATCAAAACTTTGAGGAAGGCAAACAATTCAAATAATAAAGGTCCAAGGAAATTCAAACGATTTATTTCTTGGTTGTAGTGAGATTCAAGAACAGTCACACCACATCAAACAACAATTGACTTACTTGTAGCTGGTTATTTCAATGATATACTCATGAACCATGTTTTGTGTTAAAACAGTAGTTCATTAAAATTCTCCTTTTTAAGGTTTATCAAATGACTATAAATGAACCCATGTAAAAATGGATGAATTCGTCGAAAATTCTCAGTCCCAACAGCGATCATTGAATCAACCACAACAAAAAAACATCTCTAGATTCAACAACAACTACACACAATGAGCACTAATCACAATAATTTTCTCTCTCCCAATTCCACTACCAATTCCACTACCATGAAAAGTTTTGTTACTTTTTCGGAATGGATCCACAGAGCAAACAAAACCTCACAGAAGGAAATCGCAACATGAAAGAGTTGTTGGGAGGAAAGGGAGCTGGTTTGGCAGAGATGGTCAATTTGGGAGTTCCTGTACCACCAGGATTTACCATTTGCACTGAAGCCAACGTATTGTTTAACAAACACAATAATTATGCTTCGAATATTGATTTGGATGATGAAGAGGAGATGGCTCAAAGAAACGTCTCTTCCAAAAACCAATTACCGGAACAAATTGTTTCCGAAGTGAATGAATATTTGGCTCGATTGGAGAAGGTGACCAATAAGAAGTTTGGATCCTTGCAAAATGAGAATGAGAAGGTCTTGTTGGTCTCTGTTCGAAGGTTTGTATTCTTGTGGTGGTGTTGATTTACAACAAGACAAATTTTATACAACGATCTAATGTCAACAAAATACAATCAATGGACATACACAACCATGGTGATGACGATGGAATCAAAATTCTTTTTGCATGATGAAATCCATGATTGTGTGATGATCAAAAATGGTGTGTCACCTATTTACCGAATTTTATATTTTACAAAATTGTTGTATCAATTTCAGTGGTGCTGCTGTATCCATGCCAGGTATGATGGACACAATTTTGAACTTGGGTCTCTGTGATGACAATTTGCCAATCATGATTAAGAATTTTGGTGGCAATGAGAGATTTGTTTGGGACTCGTATCGTAACTTGATTCAAATCTATGGTGATGTGGTCATGGGAGTCAAGTACGAGCATTTCGAAGAAAATGTGAAGAAACAAAAACAACAGAGAGGTATCTCACTCGACATTGATTTGACCTTGGAAGAGATTAAGGAGATTGTTGAGGATCATAAAAAGACCATTCTCGAAAAGACTGGAGAACCCTTCCCTCAAGATACCAAACAACAATTATTCAAGGCCATTATTGCAGTCTTCAAGTCATGGACCAATGCCAGAGCGATTCACTATCGAAGAATTCACAATATTAGAAATTTGAAAGGAACTGCAGTCAATATTCAATCGATGGTATTCGGTAACATTAATCAACACTCTGGTACTGGTGTTTGCTTTAGTAGAAACCCAGCGACGGCGAGAACAAATTCTATGGAGAATATTTGAGACAAGCACAAGGTGAAGACGTTGTGAGTGGTGTTCGAACTCCCGAGAGAATTGAAGAGTTGGGAAATTCTTTCCCCGAATGTTACAAACAACTCTTAGACATCAGTAACAAATTGGAGAGACATTTTAAGGACATTCAAGATATGGAATTTACCATTGAGGAAGGTGTCTTGTACATGCTTCAATGCCGAAACGGAAAGAAAGCTGTAAAAGCTGCTCTCAAAATTTATTGTGACATGCTCGATGAAGGTCTCATCACTGAGAAGGAAGTCATTCTCAAGTTGGATGCGTCCCAATTGGATCAACTTCTTCATCGTTATCTCTCTGAGAAGGAAATTTCCAAACATGAACCATTGGCCTGTGGTTTGGCAGCTTCTCCAGGTTGTGCTGTCGGTCGTATTGCCTTCTCATCAGAATCTGCCATTGAGATGGCCAAAGAAAGAAAAACAAAGGGACCTGTCGTTCTCGTTCGTACCGATACCAGTCCCGAGGATTTGGCAGGTATGCAAATTTCACAAGGATTTTTCACAACCAATGGAGGAATTACCAGTCATGCAGCTGTTGTTGCTCGTCAAAATGGTAAATGTTGTGTGAGCGGTTGTTCGGCACTGATTGTCAATGAGCACGAAAAGACATGTACTATTAATGGTGTTGAATTCAAGGAAGGTGATATTATTACCATTGATGGTTCTACTGGATTGATCTTTGCAGGTGCTTTGGAAACCTCAGAACCTTCTTTGAGTGGAGATTTTGCTCGAGTCATGGAAATTGAAAAGCGCTATCGTACCATGGGAGTTTATGCCAACGCAGATACTGTCACAGATGCAACAAAAGCCATTGAATTTGGAGCAGAAGGTATTGGACTTTGCAGAACAGAACACATGTTCTTTGAAAAGACTCGAATTCTCGATATGAGAAGAATGATTGTTGCCACCAATGAAAAGCAACGTACAGAAGCCCTTCAAAAACTCAAAGAATATCAACGTAATGATTTCAAGGGACTCTTTGATGTGATGGGAGATCGCAAAGTGACCATTCGTCTCTTAGATCCACCTCTCCATGAATTCTTACCTCATGAAGATCATGAAGTTGAAGAGCTTGCCAAGAGAGTGGGTGAAGACAAGAGTGTCGTGTTGAGAAAGATTGAAGAACTCTCTGAAAAGAATCCCATGCTCGGTCATCGTGGTTGTCGTCTCGGCATTACACTCCCCAAAATTACACAAATGCAAGCAGAGGCCATTTTCGAAGCTGCTCTCGCCTCTCAATCACCCTGTGTTCATGTGGAGATTATGGTTCCACTCATCTCTTCCATTCAAGAATTGAAACATCAAAAAGAAATTATTGAAAAAGTAGCATTGAAAATATTGTCACACTCCACATCACATGATAAGGTGAAATTTAGAGTGGGATGCATGATTGAAACACCTCGAGCTGCTTTACTTGCAGATGAAATTGCGACTGTTTCTGATTTTTTCAGTGTGGGATCCAATGATTTAACACAAATGACTTTTGGATTCAGTCGAGACGATGCCGAGAAATTCCTCAAAGATTACATTGACATGGAATTGTCACAAAATGATCCTTTCCAAATTCTTGATCAAGATGGAGTTGGAAAGTTGATAAAGATGGCAGTCGAGAAGGGACGAAGTGTGAAACCAAATTTGAATGTGGGCTTGTGTGGAGAACATGGAGGCGAGACACAATCGGTTCAATTTTTACACACATGTGGATTGACGTATGTGAGTTGTTCACCCTATCGAATTCCAATTGCAAGAATTGCAGCTGCACAACAATCCATTCTTTCGAAAAAGTAGTCGGTTGTGTTTTTATAAAAATTGTTTGTTGTTATTGAATAAAAGAGTGTTTTTGAGAAGAATAAACAGTCGATCGAATATGTGCATGTTTTTCACAAAATGTTGTCGCAGGGTATTCGCATCCATTTCGGTGCGATCATAGGTTCATGATTGACACATATCAAATCAACGGTTTTGTTGCCGCATGAAACGTTTCATTCACAGAAGATCTACGGAAGATTGTGAACTGGAATGTTATAACCACAAACAATGATAGGTTCAATTCACCCGATTTGGAATAGAGGGTTAACACTCACTTGAATTAGAACCTCAAGAACCTCAATATTGCATTTCGAACAAGTGACACTGAATAATTTAAAATCCAAAAACAACACAAACAACACAAACAACAACAACACGTATCAAAAAACATGGATTTATTCTCTTCAAACAGCTCCACCATCGAAGACTGGATCTTGTTACAACATGATCATGAAGGGAATGGACAGAAGGAAGATGATCAACAAGCCACTTGTTTCGAGAAGACTACAAGTGTGAAACATGTTCTCCTTTCTCCAGTGCTCCAAATTCATGGAGCAGCTGCTACATGCAAACCAAACGTACCAACCATGACGATACCCATGTTACAGACACACCCTGCGAACCATACGACGACACATCATGATCTAAAGAATCCTTATCGAGAAGATATTTCATCATGTTTGAATGATCCGTTAAAGATCTCAAACGATGTGTTGTCGAATGGTGCTCCCTCCTCACCACAACAACTTTCAACCTCGAAAGGAAACTTATCATTCCATCCTAAAGATCCAATACAGTCAAATAATGTACACAACGAATTTCACAACAACCGACTGAAAAAACGAACACGTTCAATGACCACAAAGAATTCACAATGTGAAAATTGTGGAACTCGCTCCACTCCAACATGGCGAAAAAATCCATCGACTGGTCAAACATTGTGTAACAAGTGTGGATTGTATGAATTGAGATATGGAATGAATCGACCTGTCAAGGAATATCTCAAATTAGGAAGAAGAAAAAGACATGTGGCAACGGAAGCTGAGGGATCATCATCCACAAGCAATGTCTCAGCGTCAACTTCTGGAGACGAACTCCCTGAATGTGAATGTAAAAAGATGAAACAGGACCATATAATTTCAACTCAATCCAACGAAAGTAATTTGACAGAAACTCTAAATCATGAAGGACAAGTACATCATGGTTGGTCATCATTGAATGTGTTAAAGGATCGATTGAAAGAAGCCTCTGAAAGATATCCAGACATTATTCAAACCTTAATTTCATTGATTCGAAAACATGTCTTGACTCAACCTCAAATTCTTTCACAGATTTTACAAACCTCTCAAATTTCACAACAACCACAATCATCAGATCATGGAGAATTATCCGCCAAGGAAGATGTATCATTTACAGATATGTTAATATTGGAAAAAAGTAATGAATAAGGAATTCAATCCGTAAACCATAAGTACACCATACACAATAAGAGATTCCAATATTTCAGACAGTCGATCGAATGTGTACACTTATTTTTCACAACAGATGTTGTCGCAGGTTGAGAAAAAGGCAACTGTGCCAGCACAAACAGCAACCAGTGAAGAAGAAGAGAAAGATGGTTCCTAATTCCACTGTTTCAATCGATTTCGGTGCGATCATGGTGGATGGGAATGGTTCATAATGACGAAAAAGTCAAAGGATTGGTTGCCGCATGAATGTTTCATTCACTGTAGATCTAAGGAAGATTGTTTCTTCCAGTACACACATTCGGACCTGTTGGAATTTTCACTAGACCGGCTAATAACTGTTTCCATTCACCCGATTTGGAAAGAGGGTTCACATTTCACTGAATAGAACCACAACGACAAGATTGTATTTCGAAGGACACTGAAAAAATTAAACACAACAATAACACAAACATTTATCCAAAAACATGGATTTATTCTCTCCAAACGACCTCGCCATCGAAGATTGGAACAGTCAGATCTTGTTACAAGATGATGAAGAGAATGACTCTGAACATGCTAATGAGGTCGAGTCAGTAATATCGAGCTCCACAGGTGTGAAACATGTTCTTCTGTCTCCACTGCACCAAATATATGGAGCTGCAGCTACATGCAAACCAACCATGAAACCAATATCCCAAACCCATCACGACCAATCGAATCATTCTATATTACATGATCCACATCCAGTGACTTCACATTATGTTCCCTTTCAGATCTTGAGCCGTGAGCATGATGCATGTTCCAATATTTTGCTCTCGAACTGTCCATGTTCATCCATACCTCTTCAACCACCACGACAACTACTAACACACAAACGTTTATTCCAACATGAAATTCAGACAACGAGAACTCCTCACCATGAATTTCCCACCCGAATGAAAACAAAACGAACACACACAAAGAATTCACAATGTGAAAATTGTGGAACTCATTCCACTCCAACATGGAGAAAAAATCCATCGACAGGTCAAACATTGTGTAACAAGTGTGGATTGTATGAATTGAGATATGGAATGAATCGACCTGCGAAGGAGGAATATCTCAAATTAGGAAGAAGAAAAAGACATGTTGCAGTAGAAGAATCATCTACGAGTAATGTTACAATGTCACCTTCTGAAGATGACCTTTCAGAAAGTGAATGTAAAAAGATGAAACAGGACCATATAATTTCAACTCATGAAAGTAATCTGAAAGGAGCTCTAAATCATGAAGGACATGTACATGGTTGGTCATCATTGAATGTGTTAAAGGATCGATTGAAAGAAGCCTCTGAAAGATATCCAGACATTATTCAAACCTTAATTTCACTGATTAGAAAACATGTTTTGACACAACCTCAAGTTCTTTCACAGATTTTACAAACCTCTCAAATTGCACAACAACAACATTCATTGAATCATGGAGAATCCAGAGATTTATCATTTACTTGTACAGATATGTTACTATTGGAAAAAAGTAATGAATAAGGAATTCAATCCTTAATCCATGTAAAAGTACTCCAAATACAACACACACAATAAGAGCTTCCAATATTTCAGACAGTCGATCGAATGTGTCACTTATTGTTCACAACAATATTGTCGCAGGTATTCATATCGATTTCGGTGCGATCGTTGTGGATGGAAATGGTTCATCATGACGAATAAGTCCATAGTTTAGTTGCCGCATGAACGTTTCGTTCACTGTAGATCTAAGGAAGATTGTTTCTTCTAGTACAGACGTTCGGACATGTTGGAATTTTCGCTCGACCATCTAATGATTGGTTACATTCACCCGATTTGGAAAAAGGATTTCTCATTGAATTAGAACCAGAACGACAAGAATTCATTTCGAAGGAAACTAAAAAAGTATTAAAAACAACAACAACAACACAAACAAATATACTCGAATCCAAAAACATGGATTTATTCTCTCCAAACGAGCATGCCATCGAAGATTGGAACAGTCAATTCTTGTTACCAGATAATGAAGATCATGAACATACCAATTGGTTCGAGTCAATAATGTCGAGCTCCACAGGTGTGAAACATGTTCTTCTGTCTCCACTGAACCAAATATATGGAGCTGCAGCTACATGTAAACCAACCATGAAACCAATATCCCAAACCCATCACGACCATTCGAATCATTCGACACTACATGATCCACATCCAGTGACTTTAAGTTATGATCCCTTTCAGATCTTGAGCCGTGAGCATGATTTATGTTCGAACTGTCCATGTTCATCCATGCCTCTTCAACCACCACGACAACTTTTAACCTTCCAACGACATGCATTAATGCAACATGAAATTCAGACTACCAACACTCCACACCATGGATTTCCCATGCGAATGAAGAAAAAACGAACACGTTCAATGACTACAAAGAATTCACAATGTGAAAATTGTGGAACTCGTTCCACTCCAACTTGGAGAAGAAATCCATCGACTGGTCAAACATTATGTAACAAGTGTGGATTGTATGAATTGAGATATGGAATGAATCGACCTGCGAAGGAGGAATATCTCAAATTAGGAAGAAGAAAAAGACATGTGGCAGCTGAGGAAACACCATCCAATGTCATAAAATCGCCTTCTGAAAATGATGTTGCAGAAATTGAATGTAAAAAGATGAAACAGGACCCTTCTTTCCGTTCAATGGAATGTGATTTGACAGAAACTCTAAATCATGAAGGACATGTACATCATGGTTGGTCATCATTGAATGTGTTAAAGGATCGATTGAAAGAAGCCTCTGAAAGATATCCAGACATTATTCAAACCTTAATTTCATTGATTCGAAAACATGTCTTGACTCAACCTCAAGTTCTTTCACAGATTGTACAAACCTCTCCATTGAATCTTCATCAACAACAAGAACCAGAACCACAATTATCATTGGATTCTACAGAACTCTCCATTAAGGAAGAAGAAGAAGAATCATGCACAAATTTCTTGTTATTCGAAACATGTATTCAATAAGGATAGAGAATTCAATCCTTAAACCAAATAAACCTACTGTAAACACCACACACACCATAAGAGATTCTCTAAGCATACCCATCATCGAACGGACGATCTGCGTGTGAGAAGAAGGCTCTGCTGTATCTCTACTGTCTCAAAAACAATTAAACACAATTGTTGAGGTTTCAACGGACTCTGTGAGACGTTTTTAAGGCGCGATCGACCATTTTTCGTTGTGCATGTAATTCCGTTTGGCCAAACATTGCTCGTCTCAGTCGGATCCAATCCATTCGGAAGCGACTTTCTAGTACAACTACTCGTCCATTCGATCTCTAATTCAACTTTCATCAAATTTTTAAGAGTTGCATTTTCCAGATATGGTCAATTAGAATATAAAAAACTCAAATCTGTGTGAGTGCTAGCTATACCTCTCTCTCACTCTATATCAAAAAAAAAAGTATGGACACCAATCCATTGTTTCTCCAAATGAACTGTTTGACATACCAAACTTTTACTCCCATGGAAATGAATGAAGAAGAAGAATGGAAACATGTGTGGAATGATTTCATGAATGAGAACAAAGCAGAAGAAGAGGACAATGTATCAACATGTGGTTTTCCATTCATTCCAACACACCATGGTGCTCCACTCTCAAGAAGTGGTGTAACAACAACAAACCCTCTCGTCATGGTGGATACACCACATGAAACATGTGAATCGTTGTGCACATTTTCAGCAAAACCTCGTCATCATGTTGGTCAACCGTGTGAGTCGAATGCATCCACAAATTCTTTACCAACTTGGAATTCTCATATAACCCTCCTCATGGAAGAAACACATGCTCCAACTTCGACATGTTCCAAATCCAACTCGAATGCCAACTCCACCCTTGCAAGCGCCTCGACCTCGAATCGTCGTCGTCCCTATATTCGAAAATCTCGAGATTGTAAATGTCATAATTGTGGTACTTCCAAAACACCCATGTGGAGAAAAAATCAAGAAGGAAAACCACTATGTAACAAGTGTGGACTCTATTTATTGAGATATGATACAAATCGACCCATGGTTGAGAAATTAAAATTTGGACGAAGAGGACATAAACGAAAATTGGATTCGAATGAAGTGATAGAACAACAACTACAACCACGAGCACAGAAGCAGCAATTTGTAACTACTCTTGATGAGACAGCAACGAGATTGAGTGATTCTTGTAAGGCATGGTTGGAAATTTCCAACAACCACGAGGAGATTTCACAACCTTGTGTTGACAAGCCTCGAAAAGCTAAAAAGAAGAAACACGACGATGAACATGTGAAAGAGACAAATCAAGGACAAGTTGGAATTGGTAATTCTGAGTCCATGCAACCAGTGTCTTCTCAAGACGAAGAAGAAGGATGGAACTCACTCGCTTCATTGAATCATCGTTTGCGACAAGCATCAGAAAGATTTCCTGAGATTATTCACACGTTGATTTCAATTATTAGAAAACATGTATTAACTCAACCTCAGGTGGTGTCACAAATAATTTCATCGAGAATGGAATTCCCAACACAGGAACAGTTCACTCATCAACAAGAAATAGAGGGAGAGGTTTGCGAATTGGAGAGGGATAGTTTCGGGATTTTTTGAAAAAATTGGTGATTCATGAGTACTGACATTAAATATTTTGTAAATATCCAATGGAATGATCTAATTACATTTCTGTTTCTACAAAATTCAGTAATGGACCTTCGATTGTAATTGCTTTTGTTAAGTCATTGATTACTATCAACTCGCACAAGGCAGGATCCCAACAGAGCAATACATGGATGGGAGTTTCCCGAAGAACGAGATTATTATGTATGTGCCATACAAATGACCCTGAGACACGTGTCTTCATGGACGCGACATGAAGAGTCATGCTTTCTCTCTTTTACCTCCTCTCCTTGTCAGTTACC